CCAAGTCTGTCAGTGTATCAGTCTCCCGTGTCGTGCCAGACGCCACATCTTGCTCAGAGTATTGCAGGGATTCAGTTCAGGTAATTAATCTGAGCTCGTTAGCCACATGGCAGGCAGGTCGTAGCAGAAGCTGCCGAGGTGACACAGCACCCACCTACTCACACTCAGCCGAGGCCGTACTTCTTAATAAACTTGACTTCCGCTGCATGTTTATGCACATTGTGTTATGGTTGTCTGCGTGGCTGTCCGTACGGCAGCTTGTGTTGACAGAGTGCGCACTGCTGGCACACACAGTAGCTTATCTCGGCTCGGCCCCCTTAGGAATGATGTCTTTTAAAGGAAGTGGGGCCGGGAGGGTGGGGTGAAACTGATATGTGCTGCTACCTTGCTCTCCCTCACATCTACCATGGGACTGCAACAGTAAATGATGGCATTAGGGAGGAGAGGAGGGGGTGGAGCAGATGAACTGCTTTCCTTCCTAGAGCGAGGGATGATACGGCAGAGTGGAGGGGGGAGGAGGGGGAGAAGCTGGACAGGTGCTGAGAGAGAGATATGTGCTTTTTTCCTCTGCTGCACAGGAGATTGGGGGGAATGGAGAGAAAGGGAGAGAGAGAGAGAAAGAGAAGGAAAAAGGACAGGTGAAATATTTCCCCCTGTGGCAGAGGAAATGAGGGAAAGTGGAAAGGGCCAGCTCTGTATTGAGAAATGGACTAAACCATCCCCAGAGGGGGTGCTGAAACTCCGGCTCCACGGGCCTCTCTCTAAATGCACCTACCAGTGATGGATGATTTTTACGTTTACCCCCTCTGCTTTTTCCTCACTCCTCAGCACAGCTCAGGCAGCTTGCTGTTTGTGGGTGTATGTGTGTGTGTGTGTGTGTGTGTGTGTGTGTGTGCGTGAGCGTGTGCGTGAGCGTGTGTGTGTGTGTGTGTGTGTGCGCATGTGTGTACAACCACCTCAGCGCATGCCAGGCAATCCTGGCTTCGCCTCCCCAACATTCCCAGGGAGTAGAAAACATATCCCCAGCAACAATCGATAGCTTCCCCTCCCTCCCCCCGCCCAAGCTCCCAGCCCCATCTGCAGTCCAACGCAGCTCTATCTCCAATGGCCACCACCGCTATTAATTCTGTGCCCCACCGCTTCCTGCTTAGAGCCCAGTCCCTGAGATTAAAGAGCGGCACAGCTACTGGAGTCCTTTGCTCACAGGAGGAACGCAAGGGGGAGGGAGGAGGGAGCACAGTGTGAAGATTGTTTATCCAGAGGAATCTCCTCAGTGCCAGCTTACAAATACTACTCATTTCCACTCCAGGCCTCATGGGGCTAACCCTGTCTGATTCCTAACCGTGTCAATTAATTTGCAATCAAATCAAATCTTTATGATCCTTTTCCCCTACCTACCCAGCCAAAAGAAAACAGTTACAGCCAGCTTGGATGGGAAAATTAATCAAAATATCAATATTAAGTTGATTTTCCAGATCCACCTTGTCACATGTGACGATTTGCAGCTTTTGTCTACATGACTGTAAACTAAGGATCTTTGGGATTTTGGTGTGTCAGTGTTTTTACACCTGGCTGCAGCTGATTGGACTCTTCATCTTTGCTTTTCCCAATCTGTAAGAGACATTTTCTGCTTTCTCAACATTGCAAAATGATCCTCTGATGAAATGCTGAAAGCAACAATATTATTACATCAACCAATGAATGTCTACTGTTGAGCTGAATCCAACCGATTCTGTCAAGACTCGACTTGCTGTTAGTTTAGTTATTTGATTTAGCCCACTTAACCTGAAGCAGTTCCTTTGCATTTTTTGCTTCTCCTCACATTTTAACTCATTATTGGTTCATTTTTCACCCTGCACCTGGAAACGGCCCAACAAACACCAGAAGCAGAGACAACTCAAAAAGAACTTCTGCGCAGTATAACAAATTTATAATGCAGTAAATCAGAAAAAAAGGAAAATGGAATTTCTTTGAATATTAATTTACAAAGATTTTAAAAATCTGGAATCAACATATGTATCATGTTCCAAGTGCCCGAAGGTGTCACCAACTTTGTTTCCATACTTGTTGCCTATTCGCTTTGTGTAAACGCAGCCTGCAGCCAAAACCTTTTTTTCATGTGGCACTTGGTTGCAACTGAGTCACTGATGGCTTCACAGTTGCACTGAGGAGGGTGGATTTTTTTGTATTTTTCACAGAATCTATTTTGTTAAAATTTTAAATTAGACATGTAGAATAGCATGATTTTGCTAAGAATTCACGATGATGCCATAATGCCAACAAAGATGATGATGCACTTCTACACCTCCATCATCAAGTCCATCCTCACCTCCTCCATCACCGTTTGGTACGCTGCAGCAACGGCCAAGGACAAGGCCAGACTGCAGCGTATCATCCGCTCGGCCGAGAAGGTCATTGGCTGCAATCTGCCTTCTCTCCAGAACCTGCACACTTCCAGGACTGAGGCGTGCAAGTAAGATTGTGGCTGACCCCTCCCACCCTGGACACAAACTCTTTCAAACACTCCCCTTTCGGTCCATCAGGACCAGAACATCACGCCACAAGAACAGTTCTTTCCGTCTTTCCTCATGAACGAGGCACAGCATAGTTTCTGGCTCTGGTAAATTGCGTAATTTGGGCATATTTTCTAAAAATAATGTGCTTGTCAACCCTGGGTTTTTGCATCTCAGCAGGTTAAATCATCACTCATTAGATATGTGGACTTGTCTGTGTGATCGCACCACTGCTTGTTTTACCGAAAGTGGAATTTATGGGCGACTAGAAAAGACTGACACAACACGTCACCTCTTGCTTGCATGTGGTATCTGTCTGCTGATAAGCTGAGGGACACTCTGGCGCTGTTGTTTTTTTATGTTGCTCACTTGGGCATTTTTTCCAATTTAACCGTGTCCCTCATCTTCTCATGTCTCTTACAGTAATACTCAAAGCAGGAATTTCTCCTGGGGAAACACATGCTGCCTTGACTTTACTCGCTCTCTCTCTCTCTCTCTCTCTCTCTCTCTCTCTCTCTCTCTCTCTCTGTGTGTCTCAAACACAAACAAACTGAAGTTTAGACTTTTACACAACAACAAAAAAAAAATCCTCGAAAAGCATGCGCTGCACACACGTAATCGTAAATGCACACAGACTCATTTTTACCTCCGCAAACATCCAGTGACTTGCACTGCATGGATTATCCTCCTAAAGCATTCCCTTTGAAACTCTGCAAGTAGGGATTTCTTTTTAGGTGATCACTGGTCTAAGCAGCTGTTACACGCAGGATTAGCAGGTTCTGCCATTCAGACAAACATGGTCTGTTTAAACTGGCAGGATGAAGAAAGTAGGAGAGGAGAAGGGGAGAGGTTATGACAGCTCAGGAGCGGAGATGAAGTCGAGAAGAATAAAAAGAGGGAAGAGAGAAATGGGGGAGAAAGGGAGGCGCGAGAGACGTGAAATGGGGAACAGATGATGAGAGGAGAGGAGCGAGATGTGGAGCAGAAGGGATGAGAGGTGAATGGAGCCGAGCGGAGAAATCGGGATGTGTGAAGAGAAGTGTGAAGGGCAAGAGAGAAGGAATAGATGAGAGGAGAGGAGAGGAGAGGAGAGGAGAGGAGAGGTAGAAAGCTTCCAGGTATCCAGTGTTGTGAGAATCAAACCTCTGCCAAGGAAGAAGCTTAAAGCGAGCCGACAATGAGAATGTTGTTCTACTTCCGTTTTTCTTCCTTTTTTTTTTTTTGTTCCTTTTTGTTTCTTGTCTCACTTGCATAGTATCATCCTCCATCCTGCCTCTCCGAGTGTGGAAGTGTGTCGCCGGCCACCTTTGTGTTGCACTCATACGAGGTGTTTACAGAGAGGAAAGGTTGATGGGCTGATAACAGGCCTTGCTGTAGGGGTGGAAAGACATTTCCATGCCGGGCCGCCGGCTCATAATAGCATCTCACTTGCTTCTCTTGTGTCTCTCTCCTCTCCTGCTTCCATTCTGCCACTACCTCCCTTTTTTCTCCCTTTTTTTGTGTCTTGTAAATGGAGAAACACATCTGGGATCCCTGTTGTTATGAGCTTTATCTTTCCTTGGCTTGCTTTTTGTCATTCCCCCCTTCGGTGTCCCCTTCCCTCCCTCCCTCCGCTCTCTTCTCTTGTGTGTCGAGCAAGGTGTGCAACAGCGGTGTGGCAGCTCTCTTAGTTTTTCCGTTTGATGCATCACAACACATTTCACTGAAACAAGCAAGCTCTTCCTGTGAGCACATCTCGTGGCCCTTGTCAGCGCTCCTTCGCCTCGCACTCCCCGCTATCACTCATTACCCTTTTTTCCCTCTCTCTGCTCGGCCCCGTGCCCCTCCTTTGCTTTCAGCCTATTCTACTATAAAGTTAGAGAAATTGTACAGTCAAGCATTCACACACACACACACACACACACACACACACACACACACACACACACACTATCTCATATATGCAGACACACAGCACTGACAAGTTCAGCCTTTCTAGTCGGGTGCCACACCACTACAATTTCTTCACATCCTTATGTAGCTCCAGTGAGAAAGGAATTGTACACATGCATGCACACACATGCATAAACACAAACACCCACATAAACTCCCAGTCGTATTCTGGCCCCTTTATCCCTCCTTGGTAATCTTTTTACGGAGTGCTGGGCCCATTTGAGGGAGAATTTAATTGAAACTGGGGCTAATCTGATGATGGCACGGCACGGCGGAGCCCTCAGCCCTGCTTCACCTCCAGTTAGGTTGCACCTTGTAGTCCTCGCACTCAATACCTTGCTACTTCATTTCATGCCTCACGGTTCAATGCAGCGCTGCCCACTCATACATGCCACATTGATTGTTAATCCGACACTTGATATGCACCATGCTCACTCAATTCTGATCTTGTTTTTCTTGTTTGTGTCCCCCTCACCCCCTCCCTCCTCTTCCACTTTCCTCACACCCCGCTGTTTACTCAACACTCCCTTGTCTTTCTCCTTCTGTTTTATACAGGATGGATATTACTCCCACCGGCCGAAGGAGAAAGGTAGAGTCGACAGCAACAATGAGAACTCAGTGCCCAAAGACTTTGAGAACATAGACAATAGTAACTTCGGTGCTCGCTCGCAGCCGCACCGGCAGTCTGTCAGGGCCACCAGCAGTAAGCAGCAGCGTGATCACCTGCAGGAGAAGGCCCACGCCCAGCAGCAGGCATGGAGGGACAACTCCCCGAGTCTGGGCCGCAGCTCAAACGAGGTTCTGCCTGTAGGCCACCAGCTGACGGTGGGCAACAATGCCTCCTATCTGGGCGTTCACGACACAGGACCGCGGCAGCATTACCGGGCATCGCAGGCCCAGCAGGCCCAGTCACAGCACAGACACCAGCACCCACACAGGAGGCAGGCGACGGCGGCAACGCTGGAGGTGACCTACGACCAGCCACCCAAGTGCGAGATCAGCGGGAAGGAAGCCATTTCGGCTCTGTCGAGAGCCAAGAGCAAGGAGTGTCGGCAACAGATCGCCGAGGTGTACTGCAGACACAAGGAGGGCCAATTAATGCCAGAGAAGGTCACTCGCTACTGCCCCCTCGAGGGTAAGTCCATCATTGTAATTGGAGTGATTAAAGTGATTACAGTAAGATAAATGGCTATTGAGTGGAAGCAGTCACAAAAGTAGTCTCAGTAAAGGGATCAATATCTGTCAAGCTTCCCAGTGTGGAGGCATTTGGTTTTTAGATTGTTAAGTTCCAAATGGCTGCGTTATGTGAAACTAAAATGTTGTGGTTTTGGTTCTTAAAGGTGTTTTATCTCACACCCAAGCGGCTTCTGTAGCTCTGGAGATGCAGAACTTGGTAAACCTCTTGGATGAAAAATGAAGCATTTTCAAGAGCCAAAAAGAAAAGTCCAGTTGCTTTCCACAGAAGCTTTTTGGATTTCTATGACCTGGATGACTAAAAAATATGCACAGACAAGTTCTGTATAACGACTATGCAAAGCCCCTGAGATGTTTGGTTTCCAAATCTTAGACATTTTGGTGGAACATTAAATTTTTGGACTAAATAAGTACATCAAGATTAAAGTTTGACAAAATTTATGGAGAATGACTAGTCTGTCCCATGAGGTCTGTGATGATTTGGATCAGATTTGATTGACAGTACGAGCTATACAATAAGTAAACAACCCCACAACAATTGTCAGCAACAACAGTTCTGATTCAGATGTTGCTAAACAAATTACATGACATCACTTTCTTCCAGCTCAGTTCAGCCAACTTCAAACCAGGAATAATAGAACAAGACAAAAAGAGAAATGCAGAATTCTCTCTGATGTGATGTAACCAAAACTACTGAAATTTCAGCTGAAATGTTTGTCACCTTATGTACAACCCAGCTGCTCACAGTAAGTAAATAGCTCAGTGGCTAAAGAGCAACATCAACGCTTGAATTGATAGAACCGTAAGACGCATAAGGATCAAAATAACCTTTCAAATTCAACATTTATGTGGCAGCAGTGGAAATAGAGGAGGAATAAGAACTACCTTTGAGATAATTCAATTTAAAATCGAGACATAAGCAATCAAGAAATTCACTGGAGCTGATTCTTGTAGCAGACTCATTAAAATACACAACACAAAGAAAAATAATGCTGACAAGCTGTCAGCGCATTTTCTCTATATAGTTTGACATTTAACTTTTTTTGCATTATGTCCTCCTACTCTCAGCTGTACACACTCTTCTTACAGGAGAAGAAATAAAAAATAATGCTGCCAAGCTCAGTACAAAGAGTTTATTCTGACAGTCAGGCTACAGTACATGGTAAAATATTTCCTGTTCTTGTAATTGCAATTTGTCATCAAAGGCAAGAAATGTCTTTTTTGCTGATGTGTAATTGGTGAAGTGAATTGTTGGAGAAAATTGGGAGGCTGCTTGTATTCTCTCCAAATTGGTTTCCAATTTTCATTTGTTTTTTCAAGCTGGCCACAGAACACAGGTTCTTCCTTCCTTTTTTCAGATGCACAAACACACAATTTTTCTTCTTTCTTTTTTTTCCTAAGAATTTATGGACATCTGCAGTCTGGTTGTAGATTCTGTAAACAAAATCTGTTGCGGCTGCAGCCATCAGTGAGCAGCACGCATCAGCAGCCATATTTAAGTGATCATCTCACACACACACACATGCGTGCACACACATGGGAGTGGACTGAAAGCAGTGTGGACAGCAGGGAAGGAGGAGAAAGCTATTATAAATCCTGCCTGTTCTCGTCAGGTACCTTCCCAGCCCTCGCTCAAGTTATTATAAGTCGAGGAGGCACGGTGACTTAGCAACTTTTGTACATTCCCTCTTTCCCAAGAGCAGGAGTATCGTTTGTCTGCGCCTAAGCTCCTGTCATCTCACACAGCAACTCAGCGTCCCACTCAAACTGACAGTCTGATCAAAAGAGACAAAGAAATTGAAAAGGGCTTTCCCCTGGTGGCTGGGCTGCAACAACACGACAGCTAAATTAAATCACTTTTCTTTCTCTCCATCTACCTGCCTGCTGTCTGGCCTATGTGTTATCTCTCTCTCCTCCCTCCTCTGTTCTCTGCCCCGTTTCAAGTCGTAACCTTGTTAGAACAAAATTGTCCAATTTGCTTTGATCGGTTGGCTATTCTGTCCTTGAGGCCTTGACTAGATTAGTAATTGTTTTAGCTCTGTATTGGCATCACTGAATTCAGAAGGAACTTTCTTTTTTTTTTTTTTTTTGCTGCCCATATATTAATTTTACTTATGTGACTGGGCTGCAGTGCTCCAGCACTGACATTAATTGGCAGCTTATGCCACATGAAAACATAGTGTCATGGCCTTGTAGTGCAAAAAAAGCTTGTATGACGCTTACTTAAAGGTGCTATAATTAATATTTTAAATGGATCAAATCCCTATATTTGGTGTCAACAGGCTTGCTGAACTCTTGGTGAATTTTGTGGAACATTTAGCATGTTAGCTGATAGTGTTAGCTTGTACTGTGCAATACGTCTTGTTGTTTAGCCAAATAGGAGCCAGATAACTGACATAAGTTCAAACTATATTAATCCTGAAAGAAATTATTTTTTGCCAGATATCGTTCTGAGAACAAAATTATATAATATTAGGAATTGCAGTGCCTGGAAGAAAAAATCCATATATCAATGAAATACATTTATAATTAGAATTAAATATATAAGTTGCAGTAAAAATGGAAAATCTTGTTGTCAAAATTTGTAATTTACACAAACTCCAACACAAAACTTTGTTGAAATGCCTTTTTTTTTTTTTTTTTTTTTTAAAGTTTTACATACGTTTAATTATAAGAAACATTTATCCTTTCAAGCTCCTACTTGTGACGTGTAACTAGTCAGACTGTGCTCAGTTCAATTCAGTTCAATCCCGTTCTAATTTTGTAGCACCTATTGGCAACAAAAGTCTTCTCAAGCCACTTTACATGGTAAGCTGAAGACCTTATACTTCTATATTATGGAGTGAAACCCAATAAATCCAGGATTACCTTTGAGAAAGTTCTTGGCAACAGTGGGAAGAAAAAACTCCACTCCAGCAGAACCAGGCTCAGAGAGGGCGGATGTCTGCCTTGACCAGCTAGGGTGAAGGTAAATGGGAGAGAAAACAGAAAAATAAGAACAATAAACATTGGGAAGGCTGGTGAGGTCAGTAACTGCAGATCAGAAATGTGTAACTCCAGAGCCAGAGATACCTGCAAAGAAGACAGAACACGACCTACAGGAGAGAAAAGTACAAAGTTAGTGATGCAGTAAGGACATATAAATGCATGAAGAGTGAAAGAGAGGAGAGTGGAGATGTGCTCAGTGCATCATGGGAAGTCCCACACCAGCCTTGGCCTGCAGCAGCATAGCTAAGTTAAAGTTCAGGGTCACCAGAGCCAGACTTAACTATAAGCTTTACGAAAAAGGAAAGTTTTAAGCTTAATCTGTTTCCCAAACTCAGACTGGGAGCTGGTTCCACAGGAGAGGAGCCTCCTCTCATCCTGCTAGGGGCATGACATCAGAGCCAAAGTAGCGTTTTTTATAAGTAGAGTTAATTTATCTGGGATTATTTTTGAAAGTAACGACACCAGTAATTGGAAAAAATGCTGTGAATCAGATCCGATGATTGGCCAGAACCATCATCATTCTATCCCTATTAGCTAGGGATGATTGTGGCTTAGTGGGTTGAGTAGCAGACATGTTCGCGAGCTCCAAGTCAAAGCTGTTCGCTGACAAATCAGATCAACTCTAAAGGTCATTGATATGAGTGTTGCGCTTGCACTTCCTTACAAGTTCAAAATCAGCAGGTTTAAAGCAAAGGAAATTAAGTTTGTTATTGTATCGGTATAAATCAAATCCACCTCTGTGGTTTATATCTGCACACCTGACTTCATGGATGGTTTCCAGCAGCAGCAGCAGCAGCAGCAGACGCCATCCCTGAGACATTTCCAAATGCAATTTGGTACAAGCCCTTTGGGATATAGCTCAGCTCTTGTTCTAACCTCTCATATGAGCAGTTAAGATGGAGGGTGGGTAAGAGCCCGAAGTTACACAAGATGATGGAGGAAGAGAGCGGCGTGATAGCAGATGAGGGAAAGGCAGTTTAAAAGATTGATGGCGAAGGGAAGCATGATGAAGAGTGATGAGTTCAAGAGGAGGCCTTCTGTCTTTTCTTTGCGACAAGTCCTGCGGTCTCCTCAGGTGCATAGTCTGTTCACAGGATACTCACACATGAAATTCCTCTGCAGACAAACACACGTTTAACAAAACTGACAATAAAATTTAAGCGCACATGCACACACACACACACACACACACAGCAGTGCTCATTAGTTCAGCTAGCTAGCATAGCACACACTCTCAAAGTGCTTTGTGAAGCGACTGGCCAATTATCCGTGTGCAAAGCAAACCAGTGAACCTTCTTAGCTGGCCACCAATTACTGTTCAATCTGATATAGCCCACAGCAGTTTTCCCCCTGAGCTGTCACACACACACATGCAGAGAACGAGAGAGAAAGAGCAGCAAGAACTAAGTGTGAGTGAATGACAGGAGCCACGGCCAATTGGAGCCAAGGGAGCGTGTCATTAGCCTCACCCCTGTGGTCAACCTTTAAAGAGAGCCATGTTGGACACCTGCCCTTGAATTTGAATGAATGAAACAAGCTGAAACAAGGTGGGACCAGGCCTTCTTAGCCCAGTTTGTGAAGAGGAGACGCCTGCCTTTAAATTTTAAGTAATTACAGGACCTCAGGCTCAGACATCGCAATGAGCCGGGAGGGGCTTTTTTTTTTTTTGAGAAAACGTCACCTCGGGGGAATAAACAGCCCCCTCTTCAGTATTCCCTTAGCTTCCTCTGCTTCCACAGCACAGACAGGCTCTTGGGAACTGAAGTCCCAAATTATAGTCATTAATCTCCTTAAGGCATGTTCTATGAACAAACATGTCTCATAAGCTGCGTGTACACATTTGCTGTAATAACTGAAGATTTAAAAACAAACAATGTCTGCGATAATGTTCGGGGACTTGACGGTGCAGAACTGCTTCGAGGAAGGTTGCTTTTTTTGTAAGTTTGAAGTGTTTTGCAGCGGTTAAGGGTGGTACAAAACCACACAATGGAGCTATGTGAGACTAGCAATGGCCCTCCAGAGATTGTTGGAATTGTTTCATTGGACAGTGGCCTGGCGGGCCGCGACCAGGGTTTTGTTTGCCTCTGTGCTTATTGTTGCCATTTGTGCAAAAAAAAAAAAATCCAAGGCTTCTTCTGGGAGTTTTGCCTGTGAGGAATGATGGCACATTGTCAAACGGTGCTCCACCCTGACAGTCCCAGCGGAATCGCTTATAGGATTCCTGTCTGAGGGAGGATAGTCGTTACAGTGGGTGTTGTGTGGTTGAAATTGTCACAGTTCCAATTCAATCATGTAATAAATGGATGAGTGACTCATGGCTTTGTGGTGCTGTTTTTTTGAAAGGGCTGAAGTAGCTATCTGACATTTCTGTTTTCATTTATTCACTTATTTATCAGTACTTCAGATATGACACGACTTTCTTGTCGCCGTGCATAATTCTGGGAAAGAAGTCACCCTTCTTATACACCCACCTCCTGTTACAGTGTTTTTGAAAACATAAGGACGGTATTATAGTTTCACTGTACATCTTCAACAGATTCCTAATTCAAAGCTATAAAACACACATTTTCTCAGTTCAGACTGTGTCACACTTACACACACAATCTAAAATACCCAGTGAATATTCATTTGCGACATAGCCGTTAATTATTATGAATATGCTAATCACCGCTCAGAATTGGTACTCACTGTGTTGCTAAGCAACCTTGTTGTTTAGCTATTTGTGTTTATTGTTTAATAAAAGAATAACATTTAATTATCATTATTAACTGTAATCATTATGCTTTTGCATTTGCTGTCTTTGTCCCTCGGAGATATTTACAGGTGCTCCCCATCATATATTGACTGCTGTTTGTGCGGCCTCTCATAGCTTCCATTAAGCAACAGATTTGAATTAGTAATCAAACACGCAAGCATCCCCTGAATGTATTACTAATGAAGGATTCAGGCAATGATATCTGAATTCAATGCAGTGAAAAACATATTTATTTTCATTTTTATGGATACATAAACATGCTGTTTTTATACCTGCACAGGTAAAGCCTACGTAAACATCCAGTGGGACGAGGACTCTGCTGAGAGCTTTCCAACAAAACCAGTGAGAATAGCGTTCGTCCTGGTGGTACACGGTCGAGCCTCTCGCCAGTTTAATCGCCTCTTCAAAGCCATCTACCACATCTCCCACTACTACTACATACACGTTGATCAGGTGAGCCATAGAGAGCCTACAAACACAGCGCCCTTCCTTTAATGTGAGCTCTTTTAAACTCACTCCTTTGTTAAGTAAAGTAATTATATTTTCTTTATTTTTCAATTACTATTCTAGCAAAATGTAATCTCTTGGAATCAGACAGAATATTAATTGGTGTGTGATTAATGTCTTTGTTTCAGCGCTCTAACTACCTGCACAGGCAGGTGCAGGCCTTGGCTTCCCAGTATACCAACGTGAGGGTGACTCCCTGGCGAATGGCCACCATCTGGGGTGGAGCCAGTTTGCTCACCATGTATCTCCGCAGCATGACTGACCTGCTGGCCATGAGGGACTGGAGCTGGGATTTCTTCATCAATCTCAGTGCCGCCGACTACCCAATCAGGTAACAGAGGGGTTCAGTAGAGGAATGTGAGGAGCCCTAAAGGGAAGGTAGTCATGTGACTTTGAAGAAATGATGTAAGGTTTATGGACAAGCATCCTGGTCACAACCTGAGCACTGAACATGATTTTTGCCTTAAGAAGGAAGTCACCACAATAGCAGCCCACTTTCAGCCAATATGGAAGAAATTCGATACACACTAGTCTGAGCTCCTGTGGTTAACTGTGAGCTTTAAATACACAGTCACTCCAAACCAAACAGATCAATGAAGTAGAACCTCTGCTTTCTCCAGCACTATTCATTCACACCTTCTCCTCCAAGTGCCTGATTCCTTGCTTGCACTCCATTGAATGGGTTACATGGTGAACTGATTGCAGTTTAATTGCCCAGGGTCAATACCTATTGACTCTGCTGGCCTGTTGTGTACTGTATGGTCCGAAAGTCATCTCTCCACTCGAAAACATCCCTATTAAGAGGCTGTAAAAAGTAATTAAAAGCTAAAAAGTTTATGTGAACTAGACGTGAAGTCATGCAAATAGCCTATTGTAAATTCTATTTTTTTTTTTTTTATGTGAGTTTATGGTTCTTCTGGGAGTTCAGGGTCTGCTGGGTTTTTGATGTAGCTCTGCAGCAGCCAATTAAAATCCTCCTATTAAGGAAAGAGTTATCTCTCCTGCACAGCCAGATGTCCACCAGTTGAATTTAGACACGCTGTAATGGCCACTGGGTGGAAGGAAGCTGGATCTGATGTCTCTACAGCTGGAGCAAAGAAGCTGGAGCAAATGTGGATTTTGTTCATGGGCGGTTTCAGTCTTGTGTTAGTTGTTTTCACCATATCGATGAATGCTGCTGACGTGCTGTCTGTGTCTGTTTGCCTTCACGTGTGTCTCTGTTTCTGCACCAGCGCAAGTTTAAATCTGGATAGTTCAGTTTGCCTCTGCACCTGTCTGCGTACAGTTGTGCATATTCATCGTGTCGGTATGCCTGTTAGGCTGTCTGTGTGTCTGTCAATGCATGATTAAAGGTATTTGTGAGTGTGCGCGTCGAGACACTGTTTTCTTCCTGTCTTTTGCCTCCTCATTTGCATGAGGGTGATGTTGTTGAAAAAAGGGCTGACAGTGGAGGTTTTAAGCCCCATCTGTTGAGAAACGAAACGATTGATGGAGCGAAAGAGGGAGCCGAGAGGCAGAAATGACAGGGAGAGGCGAAGGAGCAAGAATAAGCAGTTAGGGAAGGGAAACGAGAGAGAACTGCATGTTTTCGGATCCATGCAATATGGAAATATGTAAATTGCACTCCTGTATCTTTGCTTAGCAAGTGCATTTGTAACCACAGCTTGGATTTGACCAAGCCTGTACACGTATATAGAAGTTTAACTTGCAAATGTTGTCCTTTCAAGTGGCAGATCTGGGTTCAAGCCCCCCGCGAGAGCAAGCATCCTGCTCCTCGACTGTCCTCGAGCAACAAACTGAAACCCATTCAGCTGTTTTTTGGGGGGTTTTTTTAGCTGACAATCCGTTCCGATCTCTTTCGGAAGAGGATTCGGCAAAAAGAGACATTCTTCCTCAGAAATAAACACATCAGCATTAGATTATCATTTTGGACTTACTAGCGCAGAAAAGCATGTTGAAATAAGTTGATGCCTCACTCTTGCCAACCTGCAAAAGCTCTACAACCACTTGAGTTACTCTTCCAGTTCCTTTGTCAGTTAATTACAAGCCATAACCAATTACTTACATTGATCCTATTAACTGTATCCAACTAAAACTGTCCAACCTGCACTAGTATTTCCTTAAGATGCAGTAATTTTGGTCACAGAATGGCGTTTCCTTTGTGACTGAGCTGCGTAGTTGCAGGCAGGAATGCGGGGGGCTCCGCTGCCCTGTGCTGCCCTGACTATTGCTGTTGTTATCAGTGGGACTGGAGACAAGCATTATTTCCCCTCTAATTCCCTGATAATGTCTGTCCTGCCGCATGGATGGCTCTCAAAGCCAATTCCAGAGCCCCTCACACCAGCAGAGGGGCTGTGTGTCCAGGGGGAGATATACCATGTGTGTGTGTGTGTGTGTGTCCAGAGAGGCCAGAGGATGAGTTACACGCTTGCTTTGTCAGAGAGTACAGCCCTCTTTCCCAGCTTTTATCTACACAGTCTCCTTGCTTTTTACCTCCTATTCTCCCTTCAAAGCCCTTTTCACAGACTTTACAGCAGCTTTTAAGAAGTCGGAGCTTTGTGAGGCGATGACTGGCTGCAGGCGTCATATCTTCTAATCTCTTTCACTTTGTCATCTTGCGTCTGGAGAAAAAAAAAAAAAAGTGTTGCATCTCGTATTTTAGCTTTGTTCCATAAGTGAAAGGTGTCATTTCCCGCTTTGAAAGAAAGAAAGCCATATAACCTATTACAACTCATTCAAGATCTTGTTCAAAAACTCTAATGGGACTTTTAATTCGCTGAAGCTACAGAACTTTTTTGTCGGCTTTTCCAGGACAGAGATGATGAGTGTATGATCCATCTCTCATCAGTCTGGCTGCAGTGTGGGTTCATAGTCTGTCAGGTTTGGCATTCAGCCATTCCCTCCTGCAGCAGTGTACCGAAAATCTCCAGTATAAAACAGACTTTGGAAGCAAAAGAGTGGCATAATCCTAAAGTTTAATTGGCTCTGATAGTGAAAAGGTGCACATTTTTTAGGTGTGAGTTGGGGTTTAAACTCGCAACAGTGTGTGTGTGTGTGTGTGTGTGTGTGTGTGTGCATGTGTGTGTGTATTTGTGTGTGCGTGTGAATACCACTGTGAGACAGAGCAGCCACAGGGCTGACAGTAAGCAAACTAGACCCAGTGGACGGGGTGACCACTCAGGTGGCAAATCTGGAGCTTGACATGAATTCCCCCTCGCTCTGTGTGTGTGTGTGTGTGTGTGTGTGTGTGTGTGTGTGTGTGTGCCTACCAGCATTTGTGTGTCTCCGTGCATCGTATTGTCGGTGTGCATACTAGCAGATACTTGTATGCGTGCGTTTGTGTGTGGGAAGTAGAGACACAGAGGACTGCATGTGTCTGTACAGCACATCATCAGGCTTTATGGCTCAGGACCTCCTAAGATAAGACCCCCAGGCTGTGAAATTGCTCCTTCAAGAGAAAATGACATTAATATGCGCTTGTCCCTCCCCCCACTGATCCTTGAGCCTCGCTGCTCTTTTCGAAAGGCAAGCCAAGCCATCATGAAAGGCTCCACCGCAGATGAAATGTTAGAACCATTGACTGGGGCATAGCCTGCAGAGCAAAGCTTTTAGCCTGTCTGGCCTGTGTATGAAGGAGTAGACTGCTCTACAATGTTCGAGCAGCATGAAGTCATTCATCAAAATCGTGGATAGCAGAATCTTTTGTATAATCCTAAATAGCTTTAACGGCTTGAAGGGACCGAGGGACTGATACTGAAAGAAGCGGCGGTCTTTAATTGATTGGTATGTGACTTAAAGCCACTGGGCATTTTGTTTTTCAAATCTCAAGTAATTCCGTGTAGCGTCACAGTCGGCCTCAGCTCAAAAAATATGTTTTTGTTATTGTTACTTCACTTGAGTGTTTGAGCTTCACGGTGCAGGATGATGCATGGGCGGAGTTTGATACTGGAAGGCTAGAAAGTTTCTCTGTGCTCACCTTAAATCTTTGGAAACCAGTCGTGGTCCAGTTTTGCAGCTTATACAGTTGTGAGGTGGAAACTCGGAACCTCGAATGCAAATACACTTAAAATGCATTTCCAGACATTTTGCATTGTGTGGTTGCCTTTTAATTCAATAATGTTTGCATAGTCGTACATCATAGAGAGCAATGTTTAACAAGTTAACTCAACTTGGTCGCAACGTAGGACACAAATTATGTAATTTTAGCATTAAACATGTCTGGAGGGGATTTTTGAATATTCATGAATAAATACACTGCAGTCAGAGTTTTAAGCTTCTTTCAGACACGCACTCCTGACCATGAATCTGACGGCATCCCAACATGTTGGCTTCGTGGTCACGTTTCTGCAAAAGCTGCAACAACAATCTAACTCGGTCGGCCCTGTTAATATTTCTGTATCACTTTCAGCATGACAAAGGTGTGAAACACATGTCATCATATTAACATGTTTGCACACACCAGCAACATACTATGAGGTGTGTGATTTTTGGAGGGTTTTCCCACATTTCAGCACCAGTATTAGTTCAAAAACATCACAGAAGACAGAGTGTGCAGCCAATATCATCAAACACCTTTCTAATTCACATTGCTCGACAATAAAAATGCTCTTAAAAATAAAATTTTACTGCAGTGAAAATTGAGTCAGCCGTTAACAAAAGTAAACACTAGCTGAAGTTCAGTTTGTTGCTTCCAGATGTTTGTAGGAGTATTTCCTCCAAGTTACAATTCCTACCTGCAGCTTCAGACAGCAACAGGATCGAATAGAAGAGAGCTGCGCACACATGGAACAACAGCAGTGACTTCATTAATTACTTATAATTTTAAACTATCCCCGACACGGATACAGGATAGGTCTGGATCGAATTTTAATTTTCGACGTGTTGTTTTCTTCGCTTCAGACAGGTGACCTATCACTCACAGAGGCTTAGCCTAAACACTGAAGTTAAATCATTTGTTACACAGCAGATTTAGGTGTAGTTTTTGGTTGATTTATAGAATATTGTGCATTGTGTGACTTACTGGCATTTACTTATTGTCTAATCTTGCATGTTTGGTAAATATTGCATGTCTATCTATGTCACTGTGGGGGTTTTGTCTGAATGAAGATTTTAAGTATCCCATGCTGAAAAGGGCTACTTTTGGTGTAATAAACAGCATTATTAATTATTTTTAATAGGTTTGTCCCTTGAAAACACAGCTGATCTGTTTAATCAGGATGGCAGCTGAGTCATGATCAGATCACTGACAGTGGAAACACATTCATCACCTTTTTCTATCCATTTCAAACTTGTAAGAAGAGCTCAGATTAAAACACAAATGCATAAATCTTGGTGTGAAACAACTGAAAACTTTTGCAGAAAATTGTGTGTTCAGGAAGGATCTTCTCACCGACTGAAATATTGGGAAAATACAATTTATAGGCCTTTCAAGCAAAAAAAATAGTTGTATGTGATGTATTTCTGTGTGAAGCTGAATTTGTGGGCAGCAGGATTTAAATAACATGGAGAGAAATGTAGGCTTCTCAACGGGTTTGGTAGATTAGGAAAAGGGCTACAAGGAATAATAAATTAGTAGTTTTTGAGCAAAGTGCTAGTAGTCAAAATGTTTTACATATACATACATATTTCTAAATATATTTGGCATATAGCAAGATAGCTGAACTTTTAAGTGACGGACACAGTGTTAGAACTATATAACTATTCCCTCCAAAACTATACTTTGTGCTACAAAATCAATGTTCCACTTCTAACTAGGTCTCACCAGATGTTTCCCAGTCAAAAGTAAGTCATTTTGTTTCCATTTCAGGACCAATAACCAGCTGGTGGCCTTCCTGTCCAAATACAGAGACATGAACTTCATTAAGTCCCACGGCAGGGACAATGCTAGGTAAGACTCACGTTTTGAAGCCTTATTTTAATCAACATCCCATGCTTTCCTTCGCTCTCTGTGTTTTTCCCATCTTACTCATTCACACACACACACACACACACACACACAGCACCTTTGTGCACTCACAGCGCTCTCCTGCCAGCACAGTGTGGTCACTGAATCATAATACAATTAGCTCCCATCTGTGGCTTCATTAATTAACCTTCTTGGTGGGGTGAGCTGGCGAGGTCGCTGCCAGAGCGGCCGTCTCTGCTGAAACAACCCTGCCGCCCTCGTGCTTTCTGCCCCATCACACCCCGGTGGCAAACCAGTCATCACCAAACACTGTGGGCAAAAAAATACCCCCAAGCGCATGAAAAGAAAAAAAATGTAAAAAAAAAAAAAAATGAAAGTCCAGCATGTACGCATGAGTCAGCGTGAGTCAGCAGTACCTTTTTTTGTGTTTGCAGTCACAGTATTTTATTCAGTGGTGTTTTGATGACAGTGTAGCTATTTAGTTCCCTGATTTAAACCCTGATTAACAACAATAATGATCTTGGTAATCCACCAGTATGTGCATATGTTTGGATGACAAATTGAAACACTGGCAGAATCAACCAGCTGATTTGTGAAACGTCGTATTTAAATGTGACCGCGTGAGCCACAAGTTCAGCACGTCAACAGTCTTTCAGAGAACAGGGGGAACAGTCTGACCTGGCTGACCTGAATTTGACTCCCCACATCTAACACTCAATACGTTCACAGGAGTAACACCAGCCATTATGTATGCAGGGTGACACTCTTTAGCTGTAAAGTGTGTCGAGACAAGTGCGAGCAGCGCATTTGTCCAGTCGGTTGGGGTCAAGCGCAGGGGACAAATTCTGCAATAATGCAAAGGGAAGTAACATGCTGTGGTAGTTTAGTTGTTAATTCACCTGAGTGGTTTTCATGTGTATTTCTTAATATATTTCATTAAAATGATACCACAGTTTCATTTAGACAGAGCAGATCCAGACTGTAAAAGATTTTCTAAAAGTTGTGCTTCCTCCTGCCAGAAGACAATGTTGTCTGCAGCTTATAGCAAACCAGGTCCCCCTGTGACACACGCAGCTAAAAAATCTTCTGTTTACAACGAGTCAAGAAACTGTGAGGAAATACAAATGAGGTGCTGATTATGCATAACAGTGTGAAAACCAAAAGTTACAGAGCTTGTTTTTATGTAAATTCCTTTTTTCCCCCCTTTAAAAAAAGAAAGAAGAAAAGACTTTCACCTGGATTTTGGTATTTTTAGAAACAGAGATGAATTTCACAACAATAGTAGGCTGTAACTAATTTGTATGTTTAACCCTCATTTTACTAGCGTTGTTAACATGCAAGAGATGCTGACTGGGGTCCCCTCCAGGAGTAAACTACCACGAGAAACAACCATCACTGCTAAATAATACCTGATTTCTTCTTCAAACATAATTAGTTATGGAATTAAGGTGATCTGAAAAAATAAAGATCACCATTTTAGGAAAGTTTCAATTAATTTGCATGTTGTGTAAAACATAAATATGGTAGTAGAATGGTATAATTATAAAAATGAAAAGTTATAGGAAGACTTTCCCCTGGATTTTGCTATTTTTACAAACAGATGAATTCACACCAATAGTTAGCTGTAACTAATTTTTAAATTTAACCCTCATTCTAATAATAAAATATTACCTTTCATCTCCTCAAAATATTGTTCAATTCATAACATTGTGGGAGGGATTACTATTTTAGGACAGTTCATTTTGCATTTAAAAGAAAATATAAACTTTTCTGTAATACAGATCATGGTTTTCATCCCAGTGACATTGACACTTAAAAGCTTGTTTGCCATCTTTTGATGCGGGTGTCATCTAGTTATTAGTCATTTTAGTCAACAATATTTGCATTATGTTTGCATTTCTCTGCAATGCCAAATATCTTCAAGTGCTTGCCCTTGTTTCTTTATAAACATTGCTATGATGCAAAACTACATTAAAGTGATGCCCTCCGGGTTTATTACAGTAAAGCACATCTTGGAGTTCTGAAAAACAGAACAAACCCCTCCCTCTAACTCTCTGCAGCCTCAAAAATGATTATAATTTTGTGCTTCTTCCCACATCATGTCCTGATCAGGCTCTGACTGCATGTTAGTTGCATCCACGCCACACACTCTCAGACTTATCTGGTATAATATAACACAAATGTTTACTTTAATAGTTGTGAGATGTTTTATCATGAAATTACATGTTGCATTTCTAAGTTTGAACTTTATCTTATTTAAGGAAGAGTAGTATTTAGAGTCACAGCACATGAGAAAATCTATGTTTATCACCTTGAAAATGACTGACAGACTACCTCAACCCCCCTGATAGTGTGTGATACTCTTAATTAGTGGCAAACATGAACTCATTGAATAGTTTATTCTGTCAAAACTGCATAATTGGGATGTTTTTAGCAGCGAGGTCTCCTTGGACCTCAATACATTTGTATATAGAAAAAGCACTAATTAAAACAGAAACAGAAAACAATTGTATGAAGTCATTAGGAAGAAAATGAGTGACAAAATCAGGAATAATTGCAATAATGCAAAAGCACCTGTGAGATAAGACTGTACATCTGGGGTACCTCAGTGGGTAGGATGAGGGTGAAATGTATTCAGTAGTCAGTCTAATAATCCCACCTTTGTGTTTCTGTTTGTCAGGTTTATCCGTAAGCAGGGTCTGGATCGCCTGTTCTTTGAGTGCGACACCCACATGTGGAGGCTGGGCGACCGCAAAATACCAGAAGGCATCTCTGTGGATGGCGGATCCGACTGGTTCCTCCTCAACCGCATGTTCGTGGAATATGTAATCAACTCCAAGGACGATCTGGTCACCAACATGAAGCGCTTCTACGCCTACACTCTGCTGCCTGCCGAGGTAACGCACACAGAAACCTCTTTCACAGGTTCAAGTGTTGCTTAATCTTTGACTGACAGGTGAGCGCCGCTTTGTACTTGCACTGCATCGTTTATAGAAACTGTATACACTGTTCTCTTTTTATTGCTGTGTTAGATCTGCAGGGGAAGAAAGAAAAAAGGCGGACATAAAATCATAAAGTGAAGGGAAGATGTAAAGGCTGACTTTCCAACCGTATACAAGGATTGGATGAGAATTGAATGATCTCTGTGGGGAAATTGAATGTTTATCATGAGCTCCTGTGAATCTCCTTTCTCTGCTACTACTCTATTTCCTCTCGTGAATTGGATGGTGTAAAAAATAAAAGGTATACAATTTTCTAATTTCGTCTCTCTGTCTTTCTGCTCTCTTCCGCCCCCTCCCTCCCCCTATCCAATTTCTGTTTCTCATTTCCCAGTCGTTCTTCCACACAGTGCTGGAGAACAGCGCCCACTGTGAGAGCATGGTGGATAACAATCTGCGCATCACCAACTGGAACCGTAAACTGGGCTGTAAATGCCAGTACAAGCACATCGTGGACTGGTGCGGATGCTCTCCTAATGACTTCAAGCCTGCAGACTTCCACCGCTTCCAGGTAATACACAACACAACTGTGCAGTGCAGCAAAAATTTATTGGCAGCTTTCTGTGATCGATAAACTGGGACTCTAAGTTTTTATAAAACGAGTCTCAATGCCTTTCATATTTTCTGGCTTGGTCCTTATTTTTTTGTGTGTTCTTTTCATTGCTAAAAAAACAAATAATGATGAATTAGTTTTTAGTTACATAATACCTGGGCAAACTTCCTGATACAATTATAGCACAGGATGAAACTTTACTTAAAATACCTTCATAAATAGCTGCAGAAGAACTTTACTTGCATTTTAAAAATGTAAAATACTGGAAAGAGATCGACTATGCCCATAGAGAGATATGTGACAAATTAAAGGAAAAACTTGCATAAAGTAGTTCAAAAGCACAACAAATGTGGATCTTTCTACACAATTGCACTACATTGTACAATTAAGCATTAAATGCCCAACCGTGCTTTATATGTGCATGTATTAAAATGCTCATCAGGCCAGGATTTTAGTTTTGTAGCAAGATGGTAAGAGGAAAAGATCTGACTTTGAAAGAGGGTTCATTGTTGGGGCACAGATGGCAGGATCTTCAGTTACAAAGACTGCTCAGCTTGCTACTGTTTCAATAGGAAAAGCCATTGGTGGTACATGGTGACCCAGCACCTTACAAACTCCAGGTTAGTTTTTCCTTTAGTTTACAGTATGTCACAGTAAATTGCCTGTTAGATGTAACCAGTTAAAATGTGTGTTTTAAGCCCACACAATTCGCTTAAAAGTATATTTGGAGTTGAAGAATATCCTCGAGAAAAAATGGCATTTATTTTTTATTTTTTAAAAGCTGATTGTATTTGTGAGATTTCTTCTTAAATATTTGTAGTAGTTATTAATAATACTGACTCTACGGACAAGTAGTTTTCAGTCATAAAAATAGTAATGACATGATGTACCAAAAAAAAAAAAAAAAGGCCGATTCCATTTTGAGGAAAATATGGTGCTTATTAAAGAAAACTGTGCAGGAAGAAAAACTGACAAAAAGCCATGCAGCAGATTTAAGGCTTTTATGTTGTAATTTTTGTGCAGTTTCATGCATAAAAATGTTCATATTTTCCTAACACTGAGACCAAAACTCAGAAAGTAAAAGATCTGACATCTCAATTTTTAAAAAGTACTAAACTAATCAATTTAATGTTCAATCAGAGACATCAGGCAATCCCTTTAGCATGCATAAATGAACATGAAAATAATGCACCACGTTCAGTGGGTGTTTACAGCACATACACCTCAGTGCATCGTGGGAAATCAGCAGCAGTCAGTCTAAATTCTCTGCCCTCTAGGTCTGTCCTTTCAACCTCAGCATCCAGTGTGTTCCCACAGCTTTCACAGTCAATATGTGCAAAATTACGTGTCGATTAGTATGACCCTGACAGGAATGTTTTTTTTAAAAAGTCATTCCAATTAGATCCTCTTTGCCTTGGCTATGTGAGGGAGAGGAGGGTCAGCTAGCTTTTCAAAGTGAAAGTGATTGATTGGCAGCGACTCCAGGACCCCTGAGAACGCTGCAGTTTGACTTTTCTCTGAAAAGTAAAAGCCGTAGCGCAAAGTGACTGCAAACATTCTGCCTCGGTTAAATATCCTTAAGTCATATTCTTCAAGTACGGTGAGTCACTTCATCTCTCCGGCTCTCCACATACCAGCCGTCACACTGACCTCAGTCCTCCTTTTGCCAAATCCGTCTGCCGTCTGTCTCGCCTCAGTCTCTGGCAGTTCAGTGCCAACACATTACCCTGGCTTCCTTGGCACTGCTGCTGGGTCTGGTTGGCACCCTGGTATCAGTGAAGTCCAACCCTGGGAACAAAGCAGCCTTTGCAGAAGCCAGCCATTTCCCGGTATTAATAGGACTTAATATCCCATTGAGCGATCTCTTTGAACCTCAGCAGAGGAGATGGTACACACAAGAAAATAGACTTCAATTTGCTTTGCAGATGAGAATTATAATTCAAGGTACAACTGTTAAGTTTCTCAGTCAGTGATTTTGAAGTGCACCTACCAGAGGAGAGGTTATTCTGGAAGTGGGGAGAGAGAGAGAGGGCGACGGGCCTTTTGTCTTAGTGCATCATTGTGTGGTGTGTTTTAGAACGAGGTGCTTTTGGGAAGTCTGTTGGAAAGACAGGCTGTGACAGGCCAGTGCATCCAGATGAGTGCACAGAGGGCATGTCAGAACACAAGATGTGTGAAAGAATAAACTCTAAAATTCCCCCCTTTTGCATTTCATTTGATATCTCCAGCCGATAGCAGGAGTTAATGCATCATCTGGTTCCACAGTTGCTGCTACGGCCTGAGAAAGAGCTGAACTCTCTGAACTGTGCCTCAGCTTGATTAAGGTTTTTTTTTTTTTTAGCAGGTATGTGTTTGGTGCCGGGTGAGTATTGATAAATAGTTTGGTGTCTGGGGCTGAAAAGATTTCTTTGTGTGTAAGCCAAGCCGTGGAGGTGACACATTTCATGATGCACCATTAACGGCACAAGCAGCAGGGTAGCAGGGACAAAGAGGGGGCAAAAGACATGGATGAAGGAGGCCAGACAGAGCGGACAAATGGATAGAAGTGTCAAGAAAAGACATGGTAAATGGATGGATAAATACATAAAAGGTCATGCATGTGAAATCACAGTGCTACTATTATAATTGCACCTCCTTCATAGCTTTCTTAGTAAAATACCCCTGGCTGCTAATATAGACGGTGGGTCCTGTAATGAAGCCGTCTGACACTGATGCCCGGAGTGACTTGCAACTCCAGTGATGCACCCAAAATCCTTTCATCAATAGCAATTGCATCGTGATGTGATTAACCTTTTTCAGACCTCTCTCTTCGGAGTGTTTGGGGGATGTGCTGGAGCGAGTCCGATCTGTGGCGGCTCCACCTCACAAGTTACAGCACTTAAAGGATCTGCTGCTAAAGTCTTGTTGTCCAATACCACGGGGCTCCTTCAGAGGTTATGTAGACTCTTGGCCTCAGTGAGTCAGAGTTGTTTGGGTGGTACAAGAATAACCAACAGCGTATTAGACAGCGGAGGTCATAAGGTTTTTAGCTCGTTGGTGCTATGTCTGTTAGTTTTGTTTTATTCTGTGTTATCTGAGTTTTTTAGTCCTGAAGCCAATGTATCCAGAAATTTACCAAAAGAAAAATGCAAATATTAGAATAAAGCATAACTTTATATACCAGGAAAGTTTCTCTACTGTTCTTGTTTCCTTCAGAGAAACTGTGCTGTTTTTACATATCAAACTGTGTTTACAGGTTCTGAGTAGTACTAACTTATTCATTTTGTGTAAAACAGTTGCATAAAATCTTCTGTGGCTTCAGGGGAAGCAACATGAAATGATGTTGTCGTCAAGCTAAAGTGAAGTGAACATACCATATCACTGTTTGACTACTTAAGGCCAGTGACCCGAGGTTACATTAACCACTTCGAGCTACATACAAAGGCACTTCAAACAGCTCTCAGCCTCACCCTGAAACAAGGGGCATAACTAGCATTTTGGGGCATAACTGTATACTATGTAGACTTATATCACTGTCTACAGAAACTGTAATGTTTGAAGCAAGCAAAGAAAAAAAGAATAGGAAGCTTCGAGCTGGCTGCTGTTGCTCCAGGACAATATGTCCGTCCACACAGCACAGGCAGCAAAGGTATCCAAATGTGACTTTGAACTGTTGCCCCATGAACCGTACTCACCCGACCTGCACCATCTGACTTTTATCTGTTTCCCAAACTGAAATCCCACTTGTTTAGTCGCCATTTTTGGAATGATGATGAATCATGTCATGAATGCTGTTGAGGAGGATCTGGAGGTTTAAGATGTGACCTTCTTCCACGAAGGCAAAGTGAAGTTTGAAATCAGTGGATCAAGTGCATTGAAGCTAAAGGAGACCATGCTGAAAAAAATAGCAAGAACAGTCTTTCTTTTGTGACTTTTCTCACGAGGCAGAGAATGTTTTGAAGTACCCTCGTACAATTGCATTGTGGGTAACCAGGCACCAGATTGGATGAAGAAGAGTGCATGGAATAGTGTAGATAAAATTTCTGGTTCAGCTGAACTGCAGTGATAAATTGGTGGGGTAATCTGCTAATAACCTTGCAACCCTTCCAGTTTATCTTGCAACCCCTTGTTGGGTCCTGACCAAAGGTTGGGAACCACTGATAGGGCGCCTTTTGTGCTGCAAAAGAATTTGAAAAAAAGCGAGACTGAGGAGAGGGTAACTTTGATTTAATACACGAGTCATTAAAGATTTCTCTGTTTTTATCTGCTACCTTCAACCACCTCTACTCTACCTGCTATCTGCATATTCTTTCTCTTCTTTTTCCACACGTCACTTCGACGCACATCTCACACATCGCATTTGTTCCCCTGACATCCTGGCACACCACCGTTTCTTAATCTCCCTTCTTTCTTCTCTTTATCTCATCTGTCCCTGCATTGCTTTGCTTTCCTACTCCCCTCCCTCCCTTCCTCTTCTCACCTTCCTCCTTCCTCCTTCCTCTCTCTGCCTCTGCAGCAAACAGTGCGGCCCACCTTCTTTGCCAGGAAGTTTGAAGCCAGTGTGAACCAGGAGATAGTGAACCAGCTGGATGCCTACCTGTTTGGACCTTTTCCCCAGGGAACGACAGCACTAAACTCCTACTGGGAGAACGTGTACGACGAGCCAGATGGCGTGGCCAGCCTGTCGGACACACAGCTCACATACTACCACTCCTTCTCGCGCCTGGGCCTGGCCAGGGCTGCCGCCTCGCTGCAGGGGAACCCAAAGGATCACAGCTGCAGGTTGGTTTTGTGAACACTTGCGTGCACACAAAGGTCACCGCACCGTCCCCACAGATTTCTGTACATGCAAATAATCCTTTTACGTATGTTCCATCATCATTATTGTCATCACGCACCTGCACCTACATGCACAGGTGCACTTCAGTCTGTTTTTATGGTCAAAAGGCCACCACACCCATAATAGCATGAGAAACAACATACTGTACATAAAAGCCTTTTATTGCTCTGTTGATGTATTGTCTCACATAGATCGCATGTCACGGAAATAGGATAACAATGGATAGTTCCAATCAGCAACTGGGAAGTCTGGGTTATGCTATTCATTTTGTAACACAATATGACACTCAATTATCCCTGACATATTGAGGGCGTATAGGTCATAGCATTGAAAGCTGGCCTTTCGGCAAGTGTATTATTAGTGGAAATGCATGAATTCAAGAGTGCTGTTAACATATGTGGTTAAAATGAAAAGGAAAAAACCACACTGTACTTTCATATTTAATAGGCAAATGGAACATTTCAGTGTCATGTATTGCAGTAAGGGTTTCAATAACATATGGTTAGAGCAGCATCTGGTGTGGGAGCATTTTAGTTTTGCTGTGGTTTATTTGCACCATGATGAGTCCTACATGCAAAGCGATTAACAGGACAAATTAAATATGCTGATGCAAAGGAGAACGCCAAGGTGTAAATTGCTAATTTGCGTATTTGTGACAGAAAGCCGCATGCAAAAAAAAACCCAACACAATATAAACCTACAATAGGAAATATACACTAAAATGATATCTTTATGTTCATTTTAATGGCATTGACAGACATTAAACTCACTCTTCTCCAACATCAGTCAGAATGAAAGGAAATAAATAAAACAGCATGAAGGAAAGCAGTTGTTTTAATAATATATGGAGACAAACTGTGCTCTGATCTGCTGTAGTTTTTGTCTGCCGTCATCCAAGCTGCCAGTCTGCACAGTAAAGTTTCAAAAATGATCAGGGAAACTGAATCGTGGAGCCTCGGAGAGCAGTGTCACCTGCTGTTGTAAATCTAGGAGGCAACACGAAAGCGATCAGCTCGGCTGGTGCGTGCCGCATGAGAGCCGAGGCGGGGTTTTTTTGCTCCTCGTAAGCTGGGCTCCGGTACGGCGAGGCGTCCGCTGCCAGATACTCAGCCTGCTGCATTGTGGGTGTTCTGTGAAATGTTGCAGGTAAAGTCAAGCAGTGAAAGAAAGCCTGGTTTCATGGTTTCCATCTGTCTGACCTCAAAACCGTCCATTGGCCGCAGCTGTTTCTATTCAGACGCTGCATCTGTTAAAGTGGCGAGCAGGAGCAGGGAAAAGGCTTGTACATACATGTGCATATGTGTGTGTTTGCTTATATGAGAGAGAAAGCGAGGCTCTCAAACGGCCAACATGTAACAGCTTTAAATGGCTGAGCAGGGAGGAGGTCATAGATCAAGAAAACAGGGAGAACTACAGTAAACATTTGCATGTGTGGAGGTAGTGTAGGTTTTGCATGTGTGTTAATCTCTATGTAAGCAGCTCGTGAGTAATGTTATTGATGTGTGTATGTGTACGCGTGTTTTTACTGCTTTCTGTTACTGTATATGCACAAACTGAAGTGTAGCCTTGGTCAGGTTTTTTAGTGTATATGAGCATCACTGTGTCCGCCCAGGGATACAGCTGGTGTTTGTGCAAACAGATATTAAGCAAATGCAAACAGATTAAATGCTGCTTTGACATTTAAGGGTCCCATTAAGCCTTTTGGGTAAAGTTCAGGTCAAACTTAAAGTCCTCATATGCAAACTGAAAGTTGATTAAAATTTGTTTAAATACTGTTTGTGCGTCGGCTTAGTCCATAATATGAATTGCATTTAAATTCACCTTGCAATAAGCAAACACAGAAAAGGTAGATAATTCAGAGTAAAAGGAATGATGATCAAGGTTGTTTGTGCCCGCCTTTACTGGGGGAACTTTATATTTGGTTTTTTTTTGGACAGTAATCTCCAATATGCATGTACCTGTATTTTCCCACAGTGAATGACAGGAAGAAAAGAGAAAAATAAACCTGCCAGCTCACCCAACATTAGTCCCAGCTTGTGCCTCTCATGTATTTATATTGCACTGGAGGCCCACAAGTGCCTGGTTTTTCCAAAAGATAAGTACCTGGCGATCTTTAAAAAATTCAATATGTTGTTTAGCAACATTTACCGCCGGTCTGAAGGTATTCCCAGAATCCTCAAAGACTTTTCTGACCATGTGGATTAAAAAATGTTATGTCTGCTGCACAGTAACAAGGATTTTTTTTTACCAACTTCCAAGGTGCCACCGTTTTCCTAGTTCAAAGACGGTAGCCAAATATGAGATATGTTGTTGCTCAGTTTGTAAAACCTTTAACTTTCATACAGTTTTATCGATGAATATTAATGTCGCCATACAAAATCTTGCATTTGTGCATGTACACTCATACTTTTGATAGTTTTTACCAAAGGACATGTGTAATTTCCATCTGTATTAGTAAAGCTGCAACATAGAAAGCGATAAAGATCATTTCATCTTGAAACAGACGGAGCATTTTATATTTTCATCTGTGAATTTAGTGTAATTACACATAACAGAAACGCACTGGGGCTAACTGAATACCCGTGTTATATTGTGTTACATATGCTGTAATATGATTTTGTACTCTAACACTGTGTTCTTCATTTCCCAAGGCTTAATAAGATGCCATCATTTAACTCACAATCATGCTAGTCCTGCTGATTGTTCAGTCATTAATTGATCTCAGCAGCATTACTGGATGGAAGCCATGAATAATACATCACATCTCATCATTCTCAGCGCAGTGTACAGACATAAAAGCATTAATAATAACCTTTAAGATGTTGCGAGATAAGTATGATACGATTTCATGAAGCGTATGAGCAAAAACTAGAAACTAACCCATAAATAATGCGAGCTACAATGAGTCACAGAATTGCAGCGAGGCATTACTTAGAACAAGCTGAACAAAAAAAAAAGGGAGAGAAATAAAAACTAAATTGCTTTGTGATTTTGCAATTCAGCCACAGTGTGGTTTATTAGCGTTGTAATTAAATACACAATGTGTGTGGTGGGACTACACGAGGCCTGCCTGGAGCTGTCTTATTTATGTTTTACTGATCTGGAATTTTACTAGACAAGTAATTAAAACCAATCAAGTTTTGTTTTTTGTTTTTTTTGCTTAAAGCAAGTCACAGCAAAGTTCTCAGTTAGTGTGGTGCCTCAAGTCGGTGTGTGGCCGCGTATTTTGCATGCATGTAGAATTCAGATGTGCAACCAACAGATGGACGGGTCAACCTCGGTGTGAGGCTGGAGCTGGAGAGAGGAAAAGGACACAGAGAGCGATTTGGCTCTTTTAGCATCCCACTGTGACTCAATTGGTGAGACTGTGGAGTAAAAAGGCTGAATGGAGCTTCTGTGCAGGCTACGCCCCGACCCCCTTCTCACTGCCTCTCACACTGGCAGCCACGTCTCTGTTGGGAACGATGGGGCGGGAGTTGGAGGGGGGGGGGACGAGAGCCGAGGGAGAGAAAGCAGGATGAAAGAAGGAAAATAAAGGAGGGGAGAGGAGCAAAGAGGAAAAGGCAGGTGGGAAAATACAAAAGAGGAGGAAAAAGAGAGACAGACACGGGAAAACAAAAAGGGAGAGCAACAGAGGAAGGAGTGTGCAATGCTATCCTTGTGGGTGTAAATATTTGCTGTTCTGCTTGTCAGGGTAGCATTTACCAGGACGGGTTGACTCCTGGTCCTTTTGTGGAATACTGATGAGGCCGTGGGCACAGGGGAGCAGGGAGAAACTCTGTGTGTTAAGCTGTGTGTGCTCAGAAGAAATGGAATAAAGAGGAGTTTAAGGAAGCAGAGGGATGAGAAATCTGGGCGAGAAAAGAGTAAGAGAGCAGCTGTGGAGTGTTCCCCAGCAGTGCCCACCCTGGCCCCTTTTTGTTTTTCCAGAAGTCACTCCGGCTGGCTGCCCCGAGGGTCCGACCCTCTGCCACGTATGAAGCAAGACACAAATAAACAACAGACTAATCAGAGGGGGCAAGACCTCCGTTCGGCTTCAGCTGACTGGATGACCCAGTTCAACTTTGTTCGGCAGACTTGCAATGTGTTTAGTTGGGTTTTGTGAGTGTGTGGTGTTCAGAAGTCTGACTAATCTGAATCCGCTGCCAATACAAGCCATGACTATTCTGTAATCTTCAGACCACTGTGGTCCCGACTGTCACGCGTCTTCTTTAGCCATTCATTCCACTTCAGAACTGGAGCACATGTTAAAGCAACCAGCACACTGTAAAGCAATATTTAGCATAGAAGAGATGTATTATTTACTTACTCCGAGGTTTCTACTTGAGCTTTAATTCAGCATTCACCAATTCTTACCTCACCCTTCATGAACTGTAATTGTCATGTAGAGATGCAATAAGTTAAAAACTCCAGCTACCCGAGCAAGTAGCATTTCATGGGAATTATCTGCACAGTAGACACATGTCTTTGACCAATTGAATTTCTGTTAAAGGTCATTGAATTAATGTCCACCGTGTCTCACAATCACTGAGCACAGTGACTCCCACTAACCTTCACTGCAAGCGTACATTAGCATCCAGCCGCATTAGCATGTCCAAGGCCGGTTCCCTCCAGACGTTATCCAGATGAATCTCGATATTCTTCTCTCCTTACAGTACTAGCCCTGAAAAGCAGCATGGTAGGTAGGTCAGCCGCTATCAGGTTTGCTAATGGATTCTCACTTTCTCAATGCTCTGCCAGGTACTTCCCCATGGGCCACCCAGTGTCAGTGCACCTCTACTTCCAGGCAGACCAGTTCCAAGGCTACCTGGTCAAGCACCATGCCACCAACCTGGCAACGAGCAAGCTGGAGACCATGGAGACCTGGGTGGCACCCAAGAAGAACTTCAAGCTAACAACCCCTCTGACCAGCACGTTCAGCAGGTTGCAGTTCGCAGAGGTGAGTCAGCATTTTAGCCTGTGTGGTGTAGCGTTTACTTTTAATTTGCATTAAAGTCACTTGTTTGGCATGAGTCACAAAACAGTCAGTCAACCATTGTCAGTGTCAGAAAATGAGTTCTGTTAACAGTCTGAGCACCACACAAGAAAAACACAGCTCTTCAGCATATAATTAGAGGTGAGATATACAGCTCATTGCTATGGTGACCTTATATTCATTGCTATGGCACCCTTGCCAAGACTCATAGCAGCGCATCTCCATGCAATTAAGCTGGTGCCTGTAATGGCCTTGTAAAATGTAAATTGATTGAATTCATCCAAGTTTACAGGGATGAGCGCTTCATGTGCTGCTTATTTGTTGTTTCCTAATAGAACGTCTTCTCACCTTCACACTGGAATGCTTCCCCTGATTGTCTTGTTATGTTAATCTGTGTTTCTGTTTACCACAACGCCTGTTTAGGGTACAGCCACTCGGCTGTGATGTGACAGACACAGAGTGTCTTTTTAAAAAGGACAAAATTAACTGACTGAATGTAAATTGACCTTTCTCTCTGCTTTATCATGCACAGCTTTGTAGGAGGCAGAAATGTCAACAAATTAGTGAATGAATTTGTTTGCTTTGTTTGTGCCTGTGGACAACACTCATAACACCTGGACACACCTTGACCCTGTTTGACCTTTTCCGGCCCTCTCAGAGAGAACACAAAGGGATCCAGACACCCAGCCGCCATGCGGCTCCCTCTCGCTAAGCCCTGTTTGTGTGTCTAGCCTATGAAACCGTGAGTGACAGAGAAGTGATGTGAGCTGTGGCTTTTATCTGGATGCTCAGCCTGAGAAAGCATTCGCTGTCTGGCACTGTGCAGTGGCTGTCAGTCATTCAGTTTGTCCATCTGTCATTCAAAACGTGAGCTGAAAGAGCTTAAATACGACGGCGTGGCATCGCAGCAGTAGCTCTGCGCTTTTTGTCAACGTAGCAGATATGAACCATTATAGTAAAGCTATATGCTGGAGTTTGCTAGATAAACCATATGGTTGGCTTAACAATGTGTTCCCTGTCTTCTTTTAGATATAAAGAAAGACAGATATGTCTTTCTTTTCACTCCCCTGTTGCTGCCTTCCAGCTGCCTTTATGGGCCTTTTTATAGCATGATTTACTGTAGGACCATTTAAAGCCTGCACAGTTAAAATTAGTATTTCACCTCAAGTCAGACTTGACATTGAGAGGTATACTACGCTCTGCTGGGTAAATCATATACTGTAGAATGACTGACTTTGACTGATGGTTTAGTCCTCATTCTACCGCAATGTACGCTATGTATACTATGTAGACGGAAAAACAACAACAAGGCATTGTTATGTAAAATAATTCAGTTCAACCATTCCCACAAATTACAGCCTCAAACATTACGAAAGAATGAAAACAAATATTTGTATTATTAGCTTCCAGCAGCTGATATTACACAGCTATTGTTTTGGATCATTTAAAGGGTGCCTGTCATTCTGCTTATCCTTTGTATTTATATATTTGAATGTGTGTGAACTATATACAAGTGTGAAAGTGAAATCTAGACAAAAAGCCACATCAGCCTGCTGTGTATATAATCCCGAGGGCCAGATTCATCTCATGAGACCAGAGAAATCATTTAATTCTCTAACAAGTGTGCAAAATTGGAGCCTAATAATTTGATTCATCAACATGCTGCAAATATGATATCAAAATGTATCCTAATAAACCTAAAGAGAGATCGATCTAGAGTGCAGACAGGAGAGATACACATTCGGTCTAGTTTTTCTAGACTGCTTTCTGTTTTATCTTCAAGGAGAATGTTGCTGTTTGACATACATTTTCAAAGCTTTGGAGTGTACACAGTCTCAATGTATAGTTCAAAAAACAAGCAATTTAAGTTTAACACCCCTGCTGTTTAGGTCTCAACTCATATTTTTTTCTATTTTGAAAGCAGACCTCTGTTTTGTTTTTTTGGTTGTTTTTTTTAAAATTTGTTTATAGACATATGTATTGACATACGGCCACAAACAAACTTGCAAACTTACTGTCATGTTAATATGAATAAATAAAAACTGCCATTAAATGACTAATGATTCAAAACTACCTCACCCATCAAAAACTGCATTATTTCTAAGCTGACAAGCAGACGATTTACTTGTATTAGCGATCAGCAACAAATACCTTAGAAAGACCAAATTGAAAAACATTACAGCCCCCAAAGTAGAAACCCAATGCAACAAAATAAATACACTTTTGATCACTGACACACAAGTTCTTTAGATATGTCACAGCGTTTAATAGTGGAAATTAGAGCTTCCGTGACAGCTTGGACCTTGTGATGGGCATAGTGTCAATCTCTATGGACAGCATCTAAGAAAATCCTTTGCTCTCTGTTCAGAACAAAACTACAAGATGAAACTTGAAAAGAAGCCTGATGAATATTGTCAGCACATTATTTGGTCCATGATGAATTTGTTCACCTCAGATGGGGTTTAGGATGCTTGGTTTGAAAGTGGCAAGGTTACCACAGTGAATGCATAGTCCTAACAGTGAAGCAGAGGTGTGAGTGTGACAGTATGGGGCTGCATAAGAGCAAAAGTTGTAGGGAAAGTGGCATTGGTAGATGGCATCATGAATCCCTGTGGACATACTAAAATGCAGATGACTCCCAGTGTACAGAAGTTTGGCAAAAAAGGAATATTCCAGCATGATAACAATACAAAACACACTGCCAAAGTCACACCAGTGAAATGTGAAACTGTGACCTCGCCAAGCATGTCACGTGAATCCAGTGGACACACCTTTGGGGTATTTTGTGGAGGAACGCAAAGAAACATAACTCCTCCAGCAGAAAGAAAAGAAGAAAAAAAAATCTCTGAATAATGGCAGAACTTCTCTCCAGAAATATGGTATTCTACATGCCCAAAAGCATCAGGTCCGTCCTCAAAAACAAAGGTGGACACACGAAGTATTGAAAAATTAAACTACTAGAACTTCAGTTAGGACTTTTGCTTTCCTTCTGCATTTTGAATATAATAGATCTAAACTATTATTACATTTTATTATTACATTATGATTACACAAGACCAAGTACCCAATTGTTCAGTGTAGCAGTTATTGTAAAATACCACAAATGTAAATAATACCCACAAAGTTTTCTTTTTTGGTAAAACAAAACAGTCCATAACATGTCAATTTGTAATCTCGGGAGTGTTAGTCGGCAGATTGTTTTCTTAACTTTGACAGAACCAGCTGTTTCCAGCTAAGCTAAACTATCCAGCTGCTTGCTTGTCAATGGCACAGACATAAATGGAACGTCAATCTTCTCATCAAATTCTGTGCAAGCGAGCGCATGGGTGTGTTTCCCAAAATCTTTAACTGTTAATTAAAAATTGGTTTCGATGCATCACACAATATTCTTAGTTTGTAACCTTCTGCTATGTATCTTTATTAGTATCCATCCATGCTACCCATAGTGCCTCGGTAGACTGATCCGTGCCCCTGGGGAGTCCTCTGGTGCTGCTGGTGAACACCTGTGTTTGATTACCCCTCCCAAAAAAAGGGCCACTAATAGGCTTCTGTACGGAGCCTCGAGGGGCTTTTCTATGGTTTTAAGCAGGGCCAGATGTAGAGTGGTGTCCGTGCCCTTGCTCGATCAAATTGACCTGCCTTATTTAATTGAAGTGTCAGACAGTAGGCGCCGGCAAGCCAGTGACGTGGAGAAAAGGTTTGCAGGGTCGCCAGGTCAGAGAGAAGAAATGGAATAGAGCTGGATTATGAGATGGGAGTGTTTTATGTTTTCTATTAAGTCAGGAGCAGAATTGAGCAGAGGATGAAACAAGTGATACAGGTAATAGATGTGAATTATGGGGCATATGTGGAGAAAAGTAATAAGAGTGAAATGTATAATGTACGACTCATTATCAGACGTTAGATTTTCTCCTTCCATTTGTCAGGTCAACAGCACGGGATAAGTGAGGGTTAAATCTTCTATAATTAGCAATGTCTGTTAGTAATTGCTGGTTAAAATGGAAAATTAGAATAATTGTTCTGAGTGAGTGGAAAGTGTGAGTCAACAGAGTGCCAGACATGTACAGAAAATGGAGTAACTGACAAAAAAGGACATCAAGTCACGAGGAGGTTTGCTAGATCAGCATTCGTTCAACAAAAGCATGCTCTCCTAAGTAGCTATAAGCGAAAGAAGGTCATAAGCCTCTGACTTGGTGAGCGGTCATAAGGCGTGATTGGGAATTGGTCGTAAGCCAAAGCTTATTGGGAAGGGACAGGTTGAGTGTGGAGGTCACCGTAGGCTATAGGCTGAGGCTGAAATGGGCCAGAAGTTAATCCCTGTTTGACCTACTTTCGTACTGGAAGAAAGAGTTTCTCGCTACTGGTGGCTTCATGTGTGCCGGAGTCCTCACATTAGTGGCAGAAAAGAATAATTGCATGATTTAAAGTGATAAAAGTTCGTGGATTTAGTGGAAATGTTCCAGCAAACTTTGAGGTAATGTGGAAACAAGGGCATGTGCAGGATTTATGTAGGCATAAGGACCCCAACCTCTGTTCATAAACACACATCAGGTCAGTATATGGCAGTGTGAATGTTTACATTTGTTTGGAAGAAAATGCCTTCTTCTACTACAGACAAGTTGCACGTGCACCGTATTAACTGTGTGTAGTATACATGTGTGTTAGTGCAGAAAGAGAGAAAAGCCTGTACAGCAAGAAGGGAAGCTGAAACTGGAACCCGGACAGGATCACCAGTTAAGCTTGTTGCCGAAAGAACTACAAACAACCACAAGCAAAGTCTCAAGACGTCCCTTCCTACCAACAACATGTGAACACTGTTAGAGTCTCCCTTTCACATCTCCATGTTTAGGCAGCCGATTGTAGGCTCCTTCCTTGTGGGATGCAGTGAAATTCCTCTGTCGATACTCCCCTTGCCGGGGTTTAGAGGGAAGGTGCTGCCAATCAATTTCGGGTGTGCCAGCGAGTCAGCCTTGAATAAAGTAATGAGCTACAGAGGTGCCAGACAAGGGAGTTTATTAGTAATTTAAAGAGAAAAGAACCGAGGTCCAAAGGGCAGGAATGAGCAGAGGTCAGTCCAATAATTGAGAAGAAAGTGAGGTGTCTTTAATGGATGGCCCACATTCCTTCTCCGTGTGTCTCATTTATGCAAGTGGTGTCTATTTATACTGTACATCGTAATCTCAGTTCTCAGAGGATGTAATGCAGAGTCAGTTCCAGTCAGCCATTGATCGTCCGGCCGGGTGAGGCTGTGTTAATCAGCTACCATTTTAAGGATGAGCGCTTCATAAAGCCGCCATCCCTCTCACATTTCTGCCAGACATCTTTTACTGTCTGTGAATGTGTGTGCGTGTTGCCTCCCTCTCTATCAGCCTCACTCATCAATCTCGATCGCTGTCTCGTTTTGCATACCGCACAGTTTTGCAATCTGTGTAATCCAACACATGCAGAACGCTTGTCTTCCGTTTCAGTCTTGACCCCGAAGTAGACAATTAGCCATTCTCTTGTAACCTTCCTGTTGTTGTGATTCGCTCTTCTTCCCTGTTTTCTCTCTTTCCTTCCTTTTTTTGTTGCTTCATTTCATTGCAATGTATCTCTGCAGAGTGCTCATCATTGTCAAAATCGTAAGTTAAAAAGACATAACCAGCAACTTGCAAACATGTGTATGCTAAATGTTAATTATGCAAGCTCACAGTACATAATAATCTTAAAGTGGCTCATTGTTCCACTGGCAGTCTTCCAGTGCATTGCAGGCTGGCAGCTAGTCTCATGTTCTGCAGCCAGAGGCACTGCATGTCTCGCAATTCACCGAGGATATATTTGACTTACTGGCGCTATCTGTTACATTTTTCCATTCGGTTTATTTATTTCAAAATTGTCTTAGAGAATGCAGCTTTCTTAGTCTTTGTGGAAGCATTAAAAACCTTATTTTATGGAGCTCACCTCCCTAGACTCCCTGTTTTTCTATCAAAAGGCTGTGGTTGCTGTGTCTGCATATAATCAGAGTCTTTTTTGTCTTGTTTTTCCCTTCCTTTTCTTTTGTTTTGTTTTTTTTGTTGTTTTTTTTTTTTTTACTGATTCCAGGTTATCTGCTGTAGTTTCTGTTCAAGACAAATACTGTTCATGCTGGATACTGGTGTTCATTGCCTTCCATCGGTCTCTGCCCATCGCTCTAAAATGTGTTCAGAGAGCAGGCAGGGATGCATTTGATCTTCACCCCTTGAGGATACGGTTGGGGTGCAGTCATACGCCTTCTTCAGCCTGCCTCTCATATCCCGTGATGAGGATATTGTCAGGGTTGCACCAACTATGGATAAATATGCTTAAATGTGAAAGACAAAACAATCAGGCTTGTCAGCTTCTGCATATTATAACATTATATAACAATTGTGTTGAGGGTTGAGCTTGAAGTGCAGTTTGATGAAAAATGCATACTGAAGATTGCTCCCCATGATAATTTAGTGAAGATGCTGGTTATCTTAATACTACAGTTAAGTGGTGATGCATGCACAGAGCGCGTTACTTATTCATGATCATGTGCACTATATATAGTTGCAAGAGTGGATTTATGTACCATCATCTCTTGTGCTTTTTGCCGTCGTTTCTCCCCTTGTCTCTGTTCTTACCTCATTCTGTCACTCACTCTCTTCCTCCCTCTTCCTTCTCTCCTCCATCAGATCGGCACAGAGTGGGATGCCAAAGAGCGTATGTTCAGAAACTTCGGCGGCCTGATGGGACCCATGGACGAGACAGTGGGAATGCAGAAGTGGACCAAAGGGCCCAACGTCACCGTCACGGTCGTGTGGATCGACCCCACCAACGTCATCGCGGCCACCTACGACATTCTGATCGATGCCAGCGCCGAGTACACCCACTACCGCCCGCCGCTCAACCAGCCTCTGCGACCAGGCGTGTGGAGCGTCCGCATCCTGCATCACTGGAGCCCCGTGGCTGAGATGCGCTTCCTCATCGCCCCGTTGACGTACAACAGGCACCAGCCCATACGACAAGGTGAGAAAGAGATTCAGCCTTTGTGGTGGTAATGAGGCTTATTTTTAACTAGCACATGTTATTTGTTTCAGATTTAGCATAACGCAGAATTGCTATTGATTGTATTGCTTGTACAAATGGCTTTGCAAAATTTATTGCACAGCTGTGCTGTTCCCTCAACTAGGGATGATCATTCATCAAAAAAGTACCTAAAATGCCAAACATTTTTGTAGGAGTCCTGCACTCTGTGTACTGTGTAGACCTTTAAAGTGCAATTTAACACAGCAGCACAGTTTGTGATGCTTACAATATTGAGTGTTTGTTGACTGCACCATAGCGAACCTGGGTAATAATTACCAAGGTTGTATTTTCGGTGTTTGTTTCATATTGCCAAGAGGAGCAAGGAGTTGAAAATAAGGCACATTTATACCAAACGGTAGCTGAGTGCAGTTTCGACGTACTGTACTTTCAGTTTATGCCCTTTATTACTTGCTATATATAGTTATAGTGTACTAAAGTGTAGTTGCTTTGTAGATAAACATTGTATACAATCGACACACTATAGCTTACAAATGAATCTTCAGCTACAGTAGTGAGAGGATTTTAGTCAACCTTTTTTGTGATTTTTCTAAAATAAGGTGTTATTTTCTTGATTTTAGAGCAGTAGTTTCCCTTCATCAGTATTAGAATGAAGGACTTGATGAAATGAAAGAAATGAAAAATGAAAAATACTTTATTTATCCCAGAAGGGAAATTCAATATTGTAAAAGCTCACTTTTTTTTTTTTTTTAAATCAATATAACAAGTATTTTATACAACAATAATAATAATCATTCAGTCAGTCAATTGTCAGTCAGTCAGATTTGTTTTTCAAGGTGATGGCTGATGGCTGTTGGCAGGAATGAATTTCTGTATCTATATATATATTAATATGTATTAATAGGAGAATTTCAATATTCAACTCACATTTTCGGTGTTTCATTTTCCATTGACGCCAACATTGTGTCACAGTCTAACACTGCATTCACTGTGAAGTAATGTCTGCTGATTTAGGTGTTCTAAAATGTGTGCAGACACACACGCGCGCACACACACATAGCCTTGTATTTGCAGTGATGCCCTTTCTAATCAAGCCTCTGGGCCTCTGCAGACCCTGGTTATTTGTCATCAAGTCATCCCTAATAACCCAGCAAGCTGCTCATACATACTAAACAGAGTGTTAAACAACAGCGCACTTAGCCCTCCAAAAACAATGACACAATTAAATCAATCAGTCAGCATGGATAAGGGGCAACACTGCATTGTTCTAATCCATAAGCAGCCAGTTTGCTGTGAAAGTCACATGAGAGCTGAGACGCCGGCATAATCACGTCTTTCTCAGTTTAATAATCTCCCTGAGCCGTTTTAGTGATGAAGAGGAGCTGCAAATAAAGTTACAGCTTTTGTCTTTAACCTGAGTCTCATTAGGGATGCTGTGCAACAGCACATCTTAAATATTAATCACTTGTTTATGGCTATTTTAGGTTAGTTTACATTATTCAGTTATCTGTATGTTGTGGCTTCCTATTGGTCTACGGATGGTGATGGTTTCCTGCTGCTAATTTAACATTTCAGCTTAGTACTTTTACCATAAGAAAGTGCTTCCTTACAGTTATATACTGCAACTGTAATTTCTAAACCGTTGCTTATAAAGTAGTAAACAGTACAATGCAAAAATAGTCTTTCTTACAGTGTCCCCAGCCTTTGTTTTCCTGCCTTAAAATGAAATATATCTACTCATGATTCCTCATCACAGGTCTTGGTCTTGTTATGGGCAGTTTTCCTCCTCAAATTGCTTAATTTGCAGCAAACTTTTTGAGGCGAGAAACAATTCAAGTAACCAATACTTTTTCATTTATGTACCTAAAATAAATGAAAATTGCAGATTTCATTTAGTCCCTTCTGTCTATAATCAAATCTTTTAAATGAAACCCTAATTTTCTTTGACTTTTATAAAACAACACCTAATGCAACCAAATGAAATTATATTTTCGAGGCTTCTTGAAACAAACTCATTCATGCTGGAAACAAGTAGAAATATCCTGAGTGAAAAGGCAGTTTTCACTTGATCTTTTGTAACAAAAGACTTCAAGGACTTGAGTGAGAGGCAAAAAAGGATTTAGCAGCAGGGAGATTTTTGAAGTCATCTTGTGACCCTTCAGATTTATGGGGATTTCTTAGATTTAGAGTCCTCAAACATATTACTTAGAGGTCCACGAGATCTGACTTTATTTAATTTCAGTGGTCCTGAAAGACCGGAAAAGACAAAATGTCATTTAATTAAATCACTCATGACTATTAAGTAATATACATTGGCTTCAAGACAGGTAAGATGGCCAAAATTCAATCAAACTTAGAGATAGTATTAGGCATTGTTGCCCTTCTATTAGTTGCATTAGTGTGCCCCCTAAATAAAGCCAAGGCTCAGACAGTTAGTCCATATTTATGTGTGACTCAGATATGTTCCTGTTTTTATACGAGTTGTAGAAACGGTGTACTGGAGCGAACAAGACGCTTTCTGTATCTGCAATTTAGGAGCTGATAGAAAACTCTCTGGTGTAATACAAGAACTATACAACACTCTCCTCTACAGTTAATGACCCCACGACAACAACGGGGAAATAAGCCACATTAAAACCACATCCATCTGGGGACGGGGTTGGTGTGAATAATCTTCAGCTGCACAGTATTCAGTGTCACTAACAATTTATTGATCAGTAAGAAGTTTAAAAAAAAAAAAAGCCTTTGCTCCGTTTAGGAACCACAACACTACAGCAATGGATCATATTTTATAACCTAATCATATGTTTGGTTTGTAAAATCCTCATCTAAGCAGTAACTCCAGCTGTCAGATAAAATGTAGTGCAGTAAAAATTACAATATACACTGAAATGTAGTGGAGCAGAAGTGTGAAGTACAAGTACCTCGAAATTGCACTCGTGCTTGAGTAAATGTATGTAATTACTTTCCTCCGGTGATTTTAAAGCTACTGTATTTGAGCACATTAGTCTGAGTTAGTTTTACTTTAGGAAGTGAGTGTATTTTACATTTGTAAGCTTCTTCTGTGTATTTACACTCGATTATAGTTCAGTAATCGTGTGGATATAAGATATAGTTCATACATAAGTAAAGCCGCAGTAGACAGAAATCTGCAAAATAGCGCTTTGAATACATTAACTGATGTCTATTCTGTCCTTTTTAGATATCTTGAGTTAAGTTTAAATAACAGTTTAATGTTGGAGATAACTCAAACTAGAATTCTGCCTTGGGGTAAATATCACGAGTTACAGTTTTGACTTGCCGAAATAGCATTGCAGATACTTTGCGTCAATAGCTACGGCAAGTCGGAGGCTGATGTGGTTTGCGTTTGGCACTGCACATATGACTAGATGTTTTACCCCTATAGCAGCCTTATAGTTAGTTTCAACCCTAGTTTCCAAATGAAGAAAACTCTCATTCATCACAAACTCCTTCTTTCTCACAACTTTTTCTAAAGATCCTATCCACCACAAGAAACACCATTACTTCTGTTAGCACTGTTAAAATGGGAACTCCAATGGGAAGTCTTGCATAAGCTGCATCACACAACAATTTAGATTAGTCATAATGAAATTTGAAATATCTGTATCTACTACTTTGGCTCATTAAAACTGAATTACAGATATATCTGTTGGTTTGACTAGTCAGAATGACATTATTGACATCTTGAATAGAACATTGTGACAAATTGGAGTGTAACTACATCCAGTCAAAATAACATAAAGATATTAATTGCAAATAGTCAAATTTAGCAATTAAATGGTAAACATTGGCCACTGTTCTGTAAAAGGTTGCATAGTCTCACTAAGTCAGAAAACATTACTTAGTTAAGTTTAGGTTGTTGCTTTGGGTGTTTGGGCACCACTTTGGTTTATATTTAGTTTAGAGATTCACTCATCGTAGGAAGTCACTGACATGAAGTAGAGATACATCACGTCCACATATCTTACATATTTAGCCCATAATGTGATGATATGTAATTATTAGTGCCACTGAGCAATCAACTTATTTGTGTTAAAGTGGAGATTACAGTTATTATATAATAATCTTGTATATGCTTGGCTTGCTGCATGTGTGTTATAATGTGTGCTTTGGTCTTAGCTGTTCCATCCACCCACCTATAATTTACTGCCATGTCTGGCACCAGGTTTTCCCTCCCACATGCAGTGCCAGTAAAACTTTATGATGTGGCCTTCCATGCGCTTTGGCAGAAGCAGACACGCACACAAATCCACAATTACACTTTAAAAAAAAAAACACCAACACAAAAACTCCACACAGATGCATGACTTCATGACACACACTGCTACCACATCGCTATCTGGCACTGGTTGGACGTCGCCTTGCCTATTGGAGCACCTCATGTCTGACTGAGTCTTTCTGTCACCAACGTGTGAAAAGCGCTGATGTCTGCTAACATCTGGGCGCAAGGCAGTTTGTGTTCCATGGCCACGCTTAGAAGGGATGGCTAGCGCCCCAGTTAGAGGGCCGGTGAGGAATTTAAAGCGTCGCTGGAGCTCAGGGTGGAGAAGGTGTTTTAAGGAGAAGTTGTGTCTATGTTTACTGTCTTCCTTCAGGGCTTGACCGTCATGGGAAGAAAGAATGAGGGCATGTCTTGAATATTTCTTTGCCGTTTCCAGAAAGTCAGCATTGCAGTAGCATTAATAGGGCTTAGCACATCAAAGACGGGGATTTAGGGGAGTCCAGTTGTACAAATCAATCCGAGCATATTAGCAACCAATTTAAACTTTTAAGATAATAGGAAAGCAAATCACATTCACGCTTTGATATTTTTACTTTTTTTCCCTCCGTGCTGATGGATCTTCCATCTTTTTGCCCCCTCTTCAATCGAATCTGTCTTTCTGACCACTGATTGTCACTCATTGTCTGTCTTTTTCTTTGTCTCTTCTCACATTTCTCCAGAGGATACCCTGAAGCTCCACAACGGGCCAGCAAAGAACAGCTACATGGAGCAGAGTTTCCATGGCCTCAACCCGGTGCTCAACATCCCTATCAGCCTGGGTTACGTGGAGCAGGCCAAGAGGAACGCAGCCCTGACCGGCCCAGAGCTCGAGCACTGGTTAGACGGCCTGGTGGGCGAACTGTGGGAGGCAGCCGACGTCTGCGCCGTGGGCCCAACCGCCTGTCCGGTCATGCAGGCCTGCCCCAAGAACCCGTGGAGCTCCCTGAGCCCAGACCCCAAGTCCCAGCTGGGAGTGTCGCGGGCCGACGGCCGGATCAGGTAGCAGCGAGGCCTCCAGCTGGACAGGAGGCCGTGACACTGTTTATTTTTATTTATTCGAGGGCTTTCTTTCAGGTTGGTGGGAGGAGGAGTGAGTGGTCTGCATCTGTCTGGGGAGAAGACGGAAACAAAAGAGAAAGTGGATTCTTTCTTCTTTTTTTTTCTTTTTTTCGGGGACGTTGGTGAGGGCGCCTGGACAGAAAGCGAGGAGGAATGGTTTTCATATCCTCCCACAGGAGGGGGGGTTATGCTGGCTTTGCTATTTCAGTTTTCTCAGTGTATTTATTTTCCTTCTCATGGCTGAGTTTTACTGTGATCAAACGTTGCAATTTTTGAGCATTTATTTTGCTGCTGAATGAATTATGAAGTCAGCTTTTAACGCCCCGCACAGGGCACAGCGGTCATGTGAGTGTGGATTGTCGACAATGCTGGCGGACCTGGTTCTGCTGCAATAAGGCCTTAGCTGTAAGACATATGTGAGGAAGTAGCCAGGTACTGAATGAAATGTGCCTCATTACGGTTTCTGTCAACATCAACTAAATATGACAATATCTGAGTATTCAGACACCCCCAGAAAAGACAAGTATTTTGATACGACTCAAATGTAGTGCCGTTAATGAAGAAAACTTTGAACAACAACAGCAAAAAAAACAACAACAAAAAAAAAAAAACGTTTTAACATGATTAAAAGTCGATTACTTCAGACCTCTGAGTTCCTAGATAGTCCAGTGGCATTTGTAAATCAGTAGAATAAATCACAGCTTACTTCAATTCAGTGCCTGATCAGGTTGTGGAAGTGTTGTGACTGACGATCTGCAGCAGTCGCAAAATGGAAAAAGAGGAATGCAAATACAAAGGCCTTCTCCGAATAATTGGATTACTGGAGCAATTTGGATTTTAATAGAAACTCAATGTAGACGTTTTTCTGTTAAAAATTTACTAAATTCATAAAATGCTTCTTTTATGGTTGTTATACAATAGTATTTTAAGATTTAACATTCACATAGTGTAGATTTCTTGAATAACATCCTCATGTTGTGACAGGTAGAGGACAAAGAGAGAACTGTTTTGTCCCTATTGGATTTTTTTGTTTGTTTTTTTTTTTTTTCTTTTGCCAACCTGCCTCAAACTTGAAACAAAATCATCTCAAGCTGACCTTAAAATTCTTGTCCTTGTTTTTAATGTCACTTTTATTTTTTCTTTATTCCAGTCATGTCAACGACTCTTTATGTTGTACATAATTCTACAAGAAGTCTCAAAAATTGTGTGAATGAAGAGGGGTGAGTTCATGAGTCGCTATTTATTTATAAGTTTATATTAATACTGATATTTTTAGTCAGTGACTAAATGACTGCGACGCTGCCTTGGCAGCATGATAAATATTTTTTTGTAAAGAAAGCCGCCTTTATTTACAAAGGCCACCACCCCAAACTTATACTGTACCTTTTTATGGCCCGCACCTGTGTGTTAGTCAGTGTTGTCCTGTCTGAATAGATCTTCCTGTCTTGTTTTTTTTTACACGGCTGTTTGCCAAGTGCATCACAAGAGAAGGCCACCTTGACCTGTGGGGTCGGAGGTCAGCTACCAAACAACCTCACCAAACAGAGAAGGTGAACAAAAAAAAAAAAAAAAGTCTTCACAAGCAAACACACTGGACAACGTCTGGATCGAAGGAGAAACTGTGCTTCGTGGTGTTTTTACGGTTCCTGTCAGTTTCAGAATGATAGTGAGTGGTAGTTATCTTCCTGCTGTGACAATACTGTACAATTTCAAGTGAATATTATATTGTATCTTGACTGCAAAATGCATAATTTATTAGATCGGGTCTATGGCACCTTTTCAATCCTATTTACATTACTTGCTCTGCCATCAAGACAATCTCTGAACATTTGAGACGAGTTAATTACACCAAGGGTAGCTCTGCACCGCGACACATCCTGAACAAGAGGTACGGTCACATATTTGTTTTATCTTGAAATAAGTTTCATCTGCAGCCAATTAGGTTTTCAATCTGTGATTGTCAACATTGTTTAGCCATCACATGAGCTAAATGAGTGTTTTTGCATAGGCTAATTAAAAGACATTACTGTTCATTAATGTCAAGTTCACCTTGCCTCTCTGTCAGATGTGTGTATTATAATTGCTATCTCTCCTTCCCTTCTCAAATCCAAATCCACATCGTTACTGGGGTTAGGTTGCAAAGGACAACTTTGTTTTCCACTGGTCGGCTTCTGCTGCCATCTTTTAACTTATATCGCCACCGTGCTCTGAACAATTACTTCACACAATACATACTATAATGTAAACGCAATGACACTTTTGGAAAAAGGTGAATTAATTAAATGTAACTAAATGTGAAAGTCCTATTTTGTAACAAAATGATTAACAAATGAAGAAGATGTATATAGGTATTTTGTATTGAAATATTGTTTAAAAGGTATTGTACATGTAAATACAAATGTGGTTAAAAATGACATTGAATTATTAAGAGTTTTTTGAAGTGTCACTACCTGGGCACAAATGAATTGATGGTGTTTATTGATCAAAGTACATAACCTGTTTCAGTGTTTTGGACAGCTGTAACAACAACCTTGTCCTATTTGCCTCTCAGAGAAAAATCACATGCCAGATTGTTGTTGTTCTTGCTGGAATGTATTGTTGCGCAACTGTTGCACAAATTTCTCTGACTGACGTTTCCCCCGTTCTTTTGTTCCGGGGAGGCTCTGTGTGCCTTAGCTGACTTTTAGAACCTTCTCTGTCCATTAAAAGAAAAAAATATATATATTTTGTTGTTTGTTTTGACCTTATGTGAAGAACGCCATGAGTCTGTCAAGTGATTCACTGGTACTGCAACACCAAAATGATGTTTGCTGTTGTATATATCATCAGGCCTTCTGTCGTTATCAGCTTTTTATTATTTTTTATTTTTTTCTTCCCTTTGGGAGAGTTTTGTTGTACTTGACTGGCTTGTTTTACTTTTCTCTGACTGCTTTTTGGAAATAAAATTCAATGGAAAAACAGCTCATGTGGATCAGTAATGTACTAGTGAGCATATTGTGGTTGACGACAAAACATTAAGCTGCTGAAGCATCTTTCCACCATTACACTGTTGTTGCTTATTAAATACACATAGCTCTACAGCCTGAGTCAGTTTAACTGGGTAATATAATGAATTTACTGTATATTTTTATTCACTCACAGGGACTGTTACACTGTAATTTTGTTTTATTGTTATAATTTCAGGGATAGTCGTATAAAGTGTTATTAGAGGAAGGAAATTAAGTTTGTACCAGAGCTCAGGAACAAGACAGGTAAAGCAAAATATGGTTTCAAGTTGCACTAATAAAACATTTTATAGCATCAACTGGTTTAATTACCATGTGGAGGTTCGCATGCAGTGACAAATTATGATCAAATGCTGGAGTTGAACGCAAACTCTGTGCAGCTTTTTCAGGTTTTGGTTTTACAGCCCATAACTTTGCTGGTTTGAACTAAGCTCTCACCTGCATTGTTTTCTGCCTGTAGGAGGCAGGTTTTCAGCAAAATAAAGCTTCGATAAACCCACTGTGCCTTCTCTGCTCAACAGAAGACTGACAGGTAGTGTCATGCTGCTGAACAAGGTGGAACACTTAGTACCTAAAGAGACAACTGTGTGCGTCAGGAGCCGATGGAGTGAAACTGAAGTTTAAAGGTGGATAATAGACACTAGAAGGCTTCAGAAACATGATTTCAAAAGTCTGCTTTAAAAATTAGCAGCTTTTTCCTAACATGGTTTTTAAACAACTTTGAAAAAAACTGCATTTAAAAATAGAATAACCACAATAAATACATAAGTAGCTTTGGATGAAAGTGCAAAATTCAATAGAAATTAACTTCTAAAGGCATTCCCACTAAACACTTGAGAAATCTTCATGTGCCCCACAGTTGGAAATCATCTGACGGCTTTAACCATCATTTCATGCCATAAGTGTTTTCCTCAGTCAGACTGAGGTGGTTGAATCGCTAACTGCGGGTACATCTAGTTGCTCCCATATGTTTTCCACCAAATTAGCTTCAACAATTGTCCTCACACAGAGTTTCTCACCCAACACCCACATCACAGCACAGCTCTTTAACGTGTGGCTACAGGGAAAGTTAAAGCGTTTCAAATGAATAATGGCTTCGCTTTATACGTTCCTCCCATGCATACAGCTACTGTTGTGTGATACAGTTTAGGCAACCCTGGGAAAAATGACTTTAAGTAAAAAGAAGCAAATACAACCTTGGAAGCAAACACAAACTAAAGATGAATTCTTTTATCAAATGTTAATGTAGTGTTTATTTCATGAACTTAATTTTTTTTATATATATAATTTAAATTTAGGCACCCGTCTAGTCTTATAACTTTATTAAGTTATTTGACCTTATTTGAGTCATCGAGAATTCAAGAAGCCTCCAAACCTTGTGGCAACATTTAAAAAACATGAGCTCCTCTAAGCAACTAACTGTGAATCTGAAAATGATGCAAATTAATGCCTACAAAGTAGTGGAAGGCCACGAAAACATATCAAGGCCCCTCCAGCTTGTAGTTTGTGCTGTCGGAAATATTATCCAGACATGGCAGTTAAGGGGAGCTGTGGAGGTCAAGACAAGATTTTAAAGATCTTGAAGAGCAAGAATGCAAAGATGCAAACCAGAGCGTGGAGCCGAAATATGGAGCGCTGCTTCTCTGTGGAGTCAATTCCATGCAGGCGTCCAACTCCAGAGAAGGCGAAACACCCTCAAATACTCCCACCACCGTGTTTCACAGCGGGTTTGATACACTGCAGTATCATTCTCCCTCCTGTTGGTCTCCTTACAGTCTCCCCTCTGTTGCTGCCACAAATGTCACACTAGGATTCATCTCATTTTTTCCAGTCTTCCACTGAGAAAAGCTTCTGTGTCTTAGCCCAGGCCAACCATGTGGCCTTGTTTCCTCTCCTGAGAAGTGGTTTAAAGATGCTACTCATCCTTGTTAAGGAAATGTTCAAAGTTGAACAAATGCTCCCAAACAGAACACGGTCCTTTCTGAGTTTTACTGGATGTATTTGCACATGTGCACCCAGTCAGTCAAACATCTTTCTACATCTTTAATGGAAATAATTACATTTTCCTCGCCTATTTCGCAATTCTCTTAAGAACACTAGCTTTATGTACTTAATACTTCCCTCGGGTCGTGTCTAGATCCTGAACTGGTCAACTTACGGTCATGAGGTCAGGTTTGTGATGTTCATCACCTAGTAAACAGTGTCCTTTACTGTGGACATGTCGATCTTACTTGCTTATGCACATATAATTCTTACCCTTGTGCAGTTTCCTGTCTTTGGAGTAGCGATTAATGCACACATCAGGGGAATAAAGACTTAATTTATGCTTGTGCATCATCAAGACACCTGCACATGAGTGATGAGACCGCGTACATGTCCATCACCACATGAGCAGTTGATGTCCGACACAGATAATAATCAGGAAACAGATTACATGAGCGCATGATCACGCAGGCAAACAATAAACGAAGCAGTTGCATGACTAAATGATGAAACATGACATTTCCCTTACAATCCTCTGAAACCAGCAACAGGCAGCTTGATTGCAGTCTTGTCTCCTTTATTTAGTAAATTTTATATCTGTGATGAAGCAGCCTTTTCTATCTCTCAGTGAACAAAACTTGATGTATTGATCTTCTGGTCACTTTTGGTGTGACTGATCCTGCTTGGATACAACTAATCCCATTTCCAAAAAGTGTCTGAGAGCGCTACTCACAGCCTCACAGCTCCGGTCTAGTCATGATTTTCACGCTAAGAACCTTTCTTTGCTCAGAACAACAATCTGACACTTTCACTTAGTTCTGATGCCATGTTTCCTTCTGTCACAATGCTACTTAGTGAGCAATGTCCTGCTGGAAACTTGAGCAAGTCTGAGGAATCAGTCAAATCTGCCTGAATTTCATTCGAACACTGCTTCAGTAAACTGTACAGCTCAAGAAAGCCCAACATTCTGTACAAAGACATTTTGCACACAAACTTTTGTACAAAATTGCTGACCTAGTAATAGTGATGCATCTTAAATAAATGTGTTCTTAACCTCATTGCCTTGTGTTTTATATGTTTCTAAATCATCATATTTTCTGACTCTTTGCAAGTTTACATAAAAATATTACACATTTGCTGTGCAGTTTCAGACTTTTGGACCCCTCTGTATACTGTAATTTACAGCCATTTTTAGAGATTTTCTCTGTTTTACTAAATTATAGATCATAACCAGTAAAGTCACTTTAAAAAAAAACAAAAAAACATGTTATTCACAAATCTGCCATAAATTGTAAATAATGTACACATCAGAAATGTACATTTTATTAGTATTTAGATTTTTTTTGTACTCTATTTAAAGGAAAAAATAATTTCAAAAAAGATCAAAAAATTGTAAATACTTTTTACTGGTTTTCCCCCGTTTTGTTAAATTCCAGATAATACTTACCAAAATTCCAGAAAAAAGTCATTCATTTACATTTAAAAAAAAAAAAAAAAAAATCCAAAACTATACATAATGTTTACATCAAAAATTAGTATTTGTATAAATAGTTATTTGTTTTTTTCTTTATAATGTACCACAAAAACTGAAAAATGTACTGTTTTATTGTATCTGAATTCGCTACAAACAGCATTATTTTTCAGATATTTGTCATTATTTTATGCTATAGTATTCTATTATTTATAGCTGATTTTTTCTGGCACCCATGCTGCCTTTTTTTTTATTTTTTATTTTTTTTTACACTGTATGTTTACAGAAAAGGAGAGCATCTGATCAAAAGGAAATGATGAGGGTGGAAATCTTCTGCTTTGGGCTGGTGAGGCAGCCACAATAACATTGCACTGCATGAATCCACTAAATAGCAGCAAATTCCTAATGAAACATCATTCGTATTTACACCATTCCACTACAAGAATCAACAACATGATTGCCCAAACTTTACTCTGCAACTGCATGATGTGGACTTATACTCACCCTGCTTAAAACAGCGGAAAACAAAAGCGGAGACCTGTAAATAGATAGAGAAGCTGGCATGTTAGCGTGCATTCCCCTGAGGCTCACTAACATAAGGCAACACTGTTTAGTGTTTGACAGGCTTTGATCAAAGAAACACTGCAGTGGCAACAGATCCCATCTACTGTCCCATAAGATAGATTAGGCCCACTGGGACGTGCGGCCTAATTAGTCCAGGCTTACACTGCTGTAGGTTTGTGTGTGCGCATATGCGTTTCCTGACTAAGCAAGTACATGAGTCACTGAGTGAGAAAGCACAAAACATGGCACACAGGTTTATAGGTTTGTGTGGGTGTGCTATTTAAGGCGGATGTGAAGTGCTTGTGCTGCTGGATTCACCCGCAGCAGGATAAGCAGTATTATGTTTGTTCGACTACGATGTGAAACACTAAAAGCTATCCTGCTGATGTTGGGAGGAAATGTCTCGGATTAATAGCAGATAAACACTCTGATGATCATTTTGAGCTTTTAACTCTGGCTCACTGACACACATGCTGCTTGATTAATTAGCATCCCTGACACGCAGAGAGATTGTAATAACAGGGATCGCGGGCGTCTTTCTCACAACTGTAACATCTGCACATAGAGAGCAGAAGAAGGTTTATTTAACAGTGAATATATTTAAGCCAGGATGCATTAATAAAAAGGCTTTTTGAATGACAACCTGTACATTTTACATCTGTATTACACTTAATGACACACCTTTATTAAATGACAATACATAAGTGCACTGTTATCGTTAAGAAATTCAGTGTTAACTATAAACATATAAAAATGCAAATACAGATACTAAGAAAAAACATAATTGTTTCCAAATTGGTTGCAGAATAATATGATGATCATTATTTTCCTTGTTGTAAACCTATCTATTACGAGTTATTAAGAATTACTTACTGTCTGTGTAATTCCTGGTATGTCTTAGTGTTCCAAAAGCCTACATTGTGGGAAGAAGAAGAAA